TTTCGGAAAGACTGATAGCAAGGGGTGGAATTGTAAAAATCGCATTCAATTCAGAGAAGAACAAGAATTAATCAAAGTACGAATATTTGGTTTGTTTTAGTTAAGTTTGGGTTTATGTTTTTTTGGTATTCGTATGAAACATTATACATCAATATGAACAAAAACAAAAATCAATCATACACATGGCTTGATAGATTTGAAGCCATTAATATAAATGATATGTTCTTCGTAGGGATCCAGGAAATATGAATGAGGGAAAAAATGAATAAATCAATCTTAAGTCGTAAAAGGGAAGATGTTATGGAATGATTTGATGAAGAGAGGATAGCCAGAGTGAACATGGAATGATTTAATCAAGAGAGACTGAATATAGTGAACAAGGGACGATCTACCAGGAAATGAGGCAAGTGCACAATGCGGAATCAAATGGAGTGAAATAGTTGGTTATCCCGTGTACATATAAGATGGGAAATGTGGATTGAATAACTGATGACGGGGATAATGATTCCATCGTTTGTACATAAAAATAAGCCTTCACTTACATAAAAGCAAGGGGGTTGAGGCGGGAAAAGGATTAGTTTTGGTGCCCTCTAAATGTACGACTGATGTATTTGGGAATTGATACATGTCAATCCAAAATTTTCCCGATCCTTTCAAATGTTACAGCATTAGCTTTCAACCGTCAAAACAGGGTAAGTGTTACTTATCGTGAACGTATGCTTGAAGAAAGCAACACCTATATTAGCACTATTTTTTTTTCGGGGGAGGGGGGATGTTTCATAAACATTACAACATCGATTAAACCTATCTAGATGTTTGAATTCCAGAAAAAATAACTGTATGCATCCCTGTACATATTATTCAGCTTGAACAAAATATTTTGTCTGTTTTCAATGTTTGGTTATTTTCCATTAAAAATGGAATTGCAACTATGTTTTTTAAACAAAAATGGGTTCAATCATTTAGAGCTGCCCACCTGTCACTTAAAAAGGAAAGATTTTCCTATTTGAAAAAAAAAATTCTAAGGAAAAAAAAAAAAATAAGGGGGACGGTCTGATATGTCGTTTTTACCAAACAACTTGCTTAAGCGACCACTTTTAATTCGCGACCATCTAGCTTCAATCTGAAAATAAAGGCAATTTTAAGATCTAACATTTGATTTTTTAAAACAAATTATTAGAATAAATTATAAGCTAAAAGTAATTTTGTGTTAAAATTTATTCTTAAACTCGGGTTTAGGATTGATTAAACAACCCCAGTGCTAGAGTCACATGCCCCAAATTAAACCGCTTAAGTTTAGCTTTGTTCAGAGTTTTTCTGCTAAACTTAATTGTCACAGAATCACATCTCCGAAATGGTATGTTAAATACATTTACCTATTTTATCAGAAACTTCAATTATTTAAATACATCGCAGAATTTATTTTTGTATCTGAAAATATAACGCGAAGTCAATGAGTACGAGGCCCGCAAAAGTGCAGCGCACCACACGGGGATTTTGAGCGCTTTTTGGCGAAGCTGCTTCCTAAAACTAGGCTAAACCCCGCGTGCTTGGGGAATATGGCTCCGATTCCACATTTTTGACAGCTAAATTTGGCTTTTGGGATGGATTTTTGGAAGTGACATCTAAGTACACGTGACACCCATGGAAGTATACACGTTTCGCGTATATTATTTAAATCGGAACAACTCGCGAACACGTAGCCAGTTATTTTGCTGACTTCAAAGGGTCACTTTATACAGACTTTGTGTCTCTGTGTGGTGTCCGCGCGATTATTGTGTGTTGGGGGGGGGGGGGGGGGGAGGTACAAATACCACATTCGCCGTTTTTCATAGACCTCTTTCTCTCCTGAAAAAAATGAACTAGTGTCTGTTTGTTTGTTTAAAGTTATATTTGTGTGTTTGTTAATAGCAGCCAAAGGGTTTAATATCTGCATCGAATTTACATGGTAAAATCACACTCACAAATTTCTTACATAACTATACATAAATGACAGTCATGATGAGCATAGCAAATGAGTTATTTCCAAGAAAGTGTTCAGAAAATAAACACACGTTTTTCTCCATTCTAATACCCCACCCAAAGTTTAGTTTTCGTCAGTGTATTCACTCTGTCTAGTCCAGAAATAGTTGCTTCCTGTTTTTTTTAATTTTGATTGTAACTTTTAAATCAAGTGACTGAAAACCACGATACGTTTTGGTTTTATACGCGCTAAAAAAAAGTGCTGCATTGACATCAAAAGCCTATTGAAAACTTGTACAATGAATATTATCGAAATAATTTTTCAAAAATGTCTGAAGAGAAAGAGCGCCCCTATTGTTTAATCATTTCTATCGCGTTAATTGTCATTTTAAATTGAAAGCTAGGAGAAGTTTTAAAAACTGAACCAGTGCCAAGAGGACATATAAAAATGCTAACATTTATCATGATATTTGTTTCGCTTTCAAGACAAGGATATGGTAAATCTCTTCAAAAACACCGTCTAGCTCGATTCATACTGTTGCCCTTTTCATCATGGAGTCTCTCTCATATCTTTGCGTTCATAATCATAGTGTGCATTATCGGATTTAGTTCTAAAACAGCATTTCTTTGAATGCCCAGATACGATGACTGAATTATGCTGTTGATTGGTGCAGAAGTTCTTCTTTTCCTAGCAGCTATCATCACCAAATCTGGTTAGTTCTATTTCATGTTTGGATTGTATGTGTAAGTGTATTTAGCCTAGATGACACCATGGGAGGTGTTTAATATGAGTATAATATATGTAATATTTTGTTAAGGCAAACATTAACCTAGTCCTTTAATTCATGATTTTCAAACGCTCTTTATCTCATAACCCGCTATAGTTCTGTTTACTATCTTGATTACATGATGGGGTACATATATATTTGGCAACAAACCTGGTGGGTAAGCTAAACTATCATAAGCATTGTATCAAGTCAGAGATTGTCGTACATATCACTTATAATAGGCATTGCTTTGAATTACAAACACGTATATATTGTGTACGATTAATAATATACTGGGAATGTTTGTCATTCATCAAGTAATGTATTTGACCAAAATTGTATTTAAACAGTGGGAAAGCTAAATGGGATGACATGTCCCCCCCCCCCCCCCCCTCATCGACTAGTGAATAACAATTGAAAGAAAGAAAAGTGAGAAAACTATGATAGAGAAAGAAAAAGAAGAAAATGGACATGAAAAGAAGACACCTGAAACATCATTGGAACCTCCTTCTAAAACAATCGATAGTCTTATAAATTCGCAATTCATTTGCTGGGTAAATCGGTGCCCTTCCCTCATCTGTCCAGTACCCTTTAGTTTAATTTCACCCATACAGGATACCATGCATTTGAAGTGTCGATTCAGACGGGCAACTCACTACCAGTCATAGGGGAAGATTTCACACTGGTGTGTACCTTTACGCCGCAAACCAGGAATCGACTTGTAATTTGGGAAAGGAGCGATGGTCTCAATACGCTAGCCTCTCACGACTGTCAAGATAATCGTTCTTGTGGGTTTACCGTTCTTGAACAATGGAAATTCAGCTTGTTGGCAGACTTTTACAGTGCGAATCTCACAATAAAACAACTTGACAAAAGTGATGAAGACAACTACCAATGCACTGTAAGCGGTACGGTAGGGACAGAGAATCCAGGATCATCTAGTATGCGAGTGACTCCATTACTACCAGGTATACTATTAATTAAAACAAACTACAAAGCAAAACAAAAAAGATAACGTATTCATTCATACATATCACTGTGGCAAACAGTACAAAAAAGGTGTTTCAGTTTTACATTTTACACCAAGATTGGCGTGTTCTTAACTGGATATACTCTGCAAAGCATTCGATTAAAACAATCAGCGGTATAGTTTTGAAAATTTATCTAAACTAACTTACACGACAGCACCAACATAGTACTGGTTAAATGATTACTTTAATGATATGTGATACTCCTATATCTAATATTTGGAGTTGTAACTTTTGAATGTTTGTGATAACAGTCATCAGTGATTACATTTCAAGGATTTCAACCATCAGATAGAGCAAGTTCTATAAGAGTTGGGGTTTTAATCGTAGATATTCCCTTTTGTGTCGATAGCCCCGCCCAATTGGCTCCTTTTCACTAGTGTAAGATCGAGCAGCTACCTGAGCAACATCAGTGTTACGGGTATCAGCTGGACAGCCGTACGACATCATATGTGAAGCATACGGGGCAAGGCCTCCTGCAGTACTGGAATGGCGTATACCAGATGGTGTAACCGTTGTCCGTCAAGATCAGTCTGATGTCGTACGAGGCAAAAGCTATGTCTCTCAGAACGCTGTAACAATCAAACCCTTTAGGAATGATCAAGGAAAGAATCTCCACTGCTTGGCATCACATCCAAAACTACAAAATGATCTTCAACGCTCAGTTCAACTGAATGTTCAGGGTAAGTAAACGTGTTTAGGTAGCATGTCTTCCCTGTAGGTATGTGGTGCCAATATCATTAAAGGTGAGATCAGTGTTGTATTTCTCTTTATGTACTAAAAATCGAGCAGTTTCTGGGCCAAAATATCAAGAAATGTTTAGAAATGTTTATTCACGAGATTCATATTTTTTTCTACAAGTACTTTATTTCCATCCATATGTACAAACGTATTAAATATATATATATATTTCCTAAAAACAATATCTAGCGTTTCTAACATGATTTCTTCTAAATTTCTCTTTCATTAAGTTTTGCCCTCTAGCCTGTTGCTTTTTCTATCCGGAGAAAGCGAGAAAAACGGACAAGGGTCAACAGCCATTTACGTTTATGAAGATTCATTGACTTCAATCACTTGTAAAAGTATAGGATCTCTACCAGCAGCTGAACTATCATGGCGACTTGACAACAACAAAAGTCTTCCCAGTAACATAAGTCTTTTGAATTATCGCAGTGCTGTAGATCAAAGTTTGTTCGACACCGAAAGTACCATCAAGATACGCCCAGAAAGGAAACACCACGGGATGCACCTTTGGTGCTATGCATCTCTGGGAGATTTTCTTGATCTACGGGTAGCTAAACTGATGGTTTATAGTGAGTTCAGGTTCTTTAATATACCGGTATACCATTTATATTACACTTGATCGGACACTTTTTGTACTGAAAGTCCCATTCATCACTTATTCTTAAAAGAGGTGACGGTTTTATTTATTAATATTTACCCGATTTTTAACGAAATTGTCAGTATAGTTATAACTAAATTGGTGTCTCCTTGGACTTGGGGGGAGGGGGGGGGGGGATAATGATTGTTTGTCAGCATGACCCTCATGCCTTTTATCCTTGCTGTATAACTTAACATCATATTTAAGAGCTTATATATTTAACCAAGTGAAAATTTGAGCCATCAATGTTTTATCCATAACCATATATGATTCATTTCTGTGTAAAGGTCCACCAGATGATGTTAGAATTACCAAATCAGAGGACCTACAAGACGGTATAAAAATCAATGTAGGCTGCAGAGCTTCCAATGGATACCCTGCTCCGCTCATCCATTGGTACATCGGATCTAGGAATGTGACACATGATTCGTCTATTAATACTTCACATGATGAAGCTAACAGGTATGATGCTGAAAGCACCCTCACTCTCATACCAAATAGGATCTATCATGGCAAACGTCTTCTCTGTCAGGCAGTTCAACCTACAAAGCCGTCAAAACGATTAATGAATGATAGCATGGTGCTGGCCATATCATGTGAGTATCCGTTTTTCATTAAATCCTTTGGTACGGATATTATAATACGGAATTTCATGAAACTGCGTTAGAGATTGATCTGGTTATCTTTTTATCGAACATTTCTAAAAGTCTTCGACTACTGTTTCCCCCTTTGATTATACATGTATAATTTGTTTTCTATCTGTATCTAAATTTCTAGAAATGTTTCACACGTCCCCCATTGTTTGTCTTTGTTCCCATATTACAAGAACATGCGTTAAGAAAAAGGCTAATCAAAGTAATGGACTACATTTTCATGTTCGATTGTTGTTCACGCATGCCATAGACAAGTCTGTTCATCCATTTCCACCCCCATCCCAATTCACACCTCAGCTCAAAACCAATTGTTCAATGCTTTTTTCTATACATCAGACTTCCCGGTTGTGTTTATTACTTCTCGACGGCTTACATCAAATAAAGTACGTTTTGGGTTTGTGTTGACATGTACCTCAGACGCCAATCCTCGTGCTTTTATCTTCTATTGGTACTGCAATGACACACTTTTTTTTAACGGCACCCGCAATCAATCACTCTCCGAAACTATACCTGGAGGTGAAACGCTAACCTCTAGCGAAGTGGCGCTTCGAAACTCCCTGTCCGAAAATTCTTGTGAATACAAATGCTCTGCTGTTTCAAGATATGGTTCCGGTAGTGCGGTATTCAACTCAACAGTTTCTCGTAAGTTGAAATGTCTTAAGGTTCATTTAAGTCTTGTCTATGTGATTCGTTTTCTTTTTTATTGTATGAATCGGTGCTTGCATTCAAATAAAAACATTTTAGCTTTCATGAATTCATCTTCTATTTATCGAAATTATTAATTAAAACAAAATTATAGCATTGAATGAACAGTCTCTACCGATTTTTACTGGATTGCTTTTTTACCACTGTTTAACCCTGAAACCCTCTTGGCCCATCTTCGACCAAAATTTAACGACATCTTCAGCTCTCTTCGTTGCCTGTCAACCAGGATGCAAAACCAAGTTACGTCTCATTGGATATGATTTAACAAACTGTCGATACACATGATTAAGATCAACTTCAAGAGTCAATAGAGTGGCCATGCCTTCAAATCGGTGAGTCCAACCCATCTTTCATCTTTCACGTTTAGGTATTAACATCTCTTGCATATCCACAATTTAGTTTACAGGTAAAGAAGTGTGTCTGAACTGTTAACTTATGGAGACTGCATAGTCTAGCATACTTAGTAGGCGATGCACTGTAGATCATCCTGACACAGCTCGAGAATGGAAGAATTCACTAACCACGAGGCTTTTTGAAAGTGTTTTAAAGTTTTATAATAGATTATATAGCTACGGATTACACATGAGTACGCCCTGACTGTAGAAGCCGGGAAAATGGTAAAAGATGACATATTTACAAAAGATTTACACATATGAACAATAATCACATTACCTTCTAATCGAATATAGTAAGTCGATTTATTTACAGTGTATTTAATCTGCAATATTTGTTTGAAGCATAAATATTGACTACAGTATATCAACTGGGACCCCTTATATCCATGGCAAGATGTTCGTTGGTAATTGGAACACTTTCGGCTTACAGGCTAAAGTACAAAATAAATTATTTGCGATAAATGAAAAATATTTTTTTACTGGACACTCAAACGACCTCTTCGTTTTTGCTTTAGTATAGAACGTATTTATGTCCGTTAGGGCAAGAAATAAATACATATATCCCTTAAACACCTATCATACTGTGTAAAATACAACTGTGTTTATAACTCCCTGCCATTCCTCTTCCTAAAGATACTTACCTATTATATACAACGTGATGGCATTATCGAAAGTTAATAGTAAAACAATAGGAATAGTCAATGGTTGACTCATAATAACAACTAGCTGCTACTTCCAAAATAGCCACTTACAGTAAGTTTCCGAACCCCCCCCTTTTATTTGAAACTGACAGCGCACTGATGTTTTTCAATGAGATAGATTCCTTTTACTTTCGAAGTGCAAGAAAGAAGTGCATGAGCATATCAGCCTTGTGTCCACTCATTCAGTCATTGCAAACCGTTACTGCACATCGTTCTTTGTTTAATTATCCGGATATTCTGTTAAGCCGCATGATGGTTTATGCAACGCACCTCCGAAGTTGAAATATTCCCATAAATTAGACGTAAAAACAACATGGACGAACGTCTTCAAATATTTCTCTTTCTAACCTTCATCGTTGCTAAAACATATGAGATGAGCGTGTCTACTCGTATTCAGAACCCGGAAATCCTCCCAGTCGTTGATGAGAACATAACACTTGCCCGCATCTTCACCCCTCCATCAAAATATCGCCAACTGTTTTGGATGGACATGAATAACAATATCCTAGCTAGATGTCCAGGGGTGGGGTGCAGAAACAGATATGTCCACCGGAAATTTAACTATTAGGTATTTAACAGTGGATGACAGCGGCAAATATCGGTGCCTGTTTTTTACATATAATGATACAGTTACAAGTGGAAGTGTACTGAAAGTACTGATATCAGGTAATGTTTGCTTTCATTATTCTATATAGCTTAATTGGGTTGTGATGTGTGCGAAATTACAAGATAAATGAATGTCAAGTGTAACGTCTTTAATAACTAGTACTATCATTTGTCTTATACTACTATTATGATATATTGAGTTCGATTATTGACTATGGCAATTTACAAATAATATGATATTCTTGTATTATTATTTTGTTTATGTCCAAAATGATCCTAGACAACAAAGTTGACAAGACATATAATCTAGTAGTAACTATATATATATATATACAATTTATATATTGATTATTTTTCAGCTGCTCCTAGGTTGCTTTCCATCACGGACGTCCGGTCTGTGGATGGATACAAGAATGGAGCATCCGTGAGCATCACATATGGGCGAACTCACAACCTAATATGTTCAGCCCAAGGCGCTAGACCACCTGCAGAACTGGAATGGGACGTTCCCGAAGAAGTACGGTTCCGACTAGAAGATCAGTATAACGCTGTTGATGGTGAAGCTTACACCTCTCAAAGAGTTATTTCTGTTACTCCTTCGAAAGAGGATGAAGGAAAAATGATCCGATGTATGGCTTTTCATCGGGAGCTGGATAGTGGACTTCAATTGTTCATCCGCCTCGATGTGCAAGGTGATTATCTTACCAATGAATTCATTCTATGATTGCTCAAAGTGTGTGTTTCTGCCAAACAAAATAGGCATCTACCTGTGAGGACTGTCTGAAATGGATGAAACATTCAACTAACCCTAGAACATTTTCTCCTCTAAATATATTGATAATAGACGCAGTTTCCGACTGCTGAAATACATAATTTATTGATTATTCTGTTACTACATTTCAAACTAAGTCTCCCCTCTGTCCACATAAAAAAAACAGAACCTTGTGGTATTTCTTTTTTCTTCTCATTTAGTCTCACCAATTAACCTACGGATCACCGCATCTGATCCAATGACTATTGACGAGGCGGGTACAAGAAGTGCCATTGTCTTTGAAGCCTCGGCAAAATCATTTACCTGCACGAGTGTAGGATCTCGCCCTTCAGCTGTTATATCATGGATTATTGGTTCGGACGCCGACCTAGGTATCATGACATCTACGTCCACCAACAATGTGGCCGACCCAGCTTTACGTGACACATCTAATCTACAGTTGATACCAAAGAGGAGGCATCACAGTCAATTTCTCAGATGTGTTGCCAATGCTGGTATGAACGAACATCAAACAGAAGTGAGGGTTATCGTCCATGGTGAGTAATCATAAGTTACATTAACTATACGTCATCTCCTTCATTTCACAACAGGAGATCGAATGTGGACTGCAACACACTTGGACATTCGTATATACTAGATGCGAACCGTTACATTTGGAATCACTGGATATATTATCATACCATGCTTGTCTCTTCTGCAGCAAGATAAACAAATAGAAAGTGAACATTGTAAAAAGTCATTACTGGTAAAATGTCGTGAAAGATTAAGAAAGTTCCTTTAGATATTAACATATCTTGTTGTGTGTGTCAGAATATGACTTATTTGTAATACATAGGTCATTGTTGCTTTTAAAATCATCATATTTAATTTCCTGTATCGGTTTTTATGGTATATCCAATTCACTGGGCCTTACAATCCAAAAATAGTGACACAAGAAATACGCATTGTTTTTCAAGGACCACCAAATCCTCCCTACCTAAATGGAACAGAAGGTTTACAGGATGGGGTGTCATCAAATTTGACTTGCACATCGAACAATGGCTACCCAGCACCAACAATACAATGGTACCTTGGATCAAAGAACGTCACGGGAGATTCTAAAACACATTCTTCGAGAAATCTAAACATTCGACTGGATGCCACAAGTGTTATTAATTTCACACCCACGATAGACAATCATGAGGAACTCCTTGTCTGTCAAGTTGTTCAACCAAACGATGCATCAATACATTCTTGGAGAGTTAGTGCTGTTCTTCATAAGTACAGTTGGATCTATTCATCATTTAGATCTCATAAAGAGGCAGGTATATTACATCGCCTCACCTCTACAAAAGGACATTACCATAAATGTAATTACTTGGCGTTCGTGCCCTTTATGCAGTCAGTCGGCGATTATATTAATTTTTCATATACGGTAAATATATTGAACAGACAAAGGTCAATCGAAAACATCAACTGCGTTTATTCTTTCCCCTGTTGCTAAAAACAATATTTCCAACAAGAAATTCTCGAAACTCTTTAGTTCTTGATTTCAATGTCATGTTTGGTTCTGATAAATGCAAATGATAGCAAAAACACTTGAAGTAACATGGTTGTATTACACAATCGTAGTGCTGACAAGTAAACCTTACATTATATTTGTATCGCCTTACGATACTATAATAGTGGTAGCGAATGGTATTTGAATTAGCTTACGCTAATCAGGAATACCATCACCAATTACTTCTTGCTGAGCCTCGTTTTTTTGTTTCCACGTTTTTGTTTCTTCTTTCTGAATACATATATGTAGATTCTCCTGCCCTTGTGGACTACTCTGTTCGTCGTGTTTCCAGTGGTCAGCACAGCGTTGATGCTGTTCTTACATGCACATCAGATAGCAGACCCCGAGCCTTAATAATATGGTTCTTGAATGGCACGGAACTCAACGGCACCCGACATTACATTCTCCACAATCCTTCACAAGAAGATACATTGAGGTCAAGTATTCTGATTGTTTCTAATATTTCGGCAGAAGGTGATGGCAACTATAAATGTTTGGCTGAGACAAGGCTTGGGAACAACAGCGCAACTATAACCTTTTTATATTCTGGTAAATATTTCACTATCAGACCGATGCGCATTTATGTAAAATGATCATGTTCTATTGTTGAAATGGCATATTGTCTAGTACAGTACTGTGCCAGTGATAATCCCAGATGACAAATGAGAAAAGTATGATACTGTTACGATATTTTAACCTAGGTATAACAATTTTCATGAATTTACTCGTTACGGTAGATTAATGTGTTGACGTTGAGCATCAGGTGATGGTTGAAGGGATAATGACATGTACAACAATGATCTGGTGACGATTAAATTAAGTTTTATCTCGCCAAGGATACATGGTTGACATTTAGAGTTTGGTTTAGGGCATGTAACCTACAACCGGTAGTACTGCAGTACGATATGGAAATTAATTGGATTGGTCTGATGATTTTTTATTTTTGGTAGCAAAATATGTTGAAGAGTGTATTCCTTGGAACATGAAGTTTTCACCATCTTTTTTCCAGGGAGTCCAGATCCACCTTACTGGTTCATCGTCGATCAAAACCAAACGACACCATCTACTCTCTTCTTTGCTTGGCAGCCTGCAATCCCTGATGGGTTTCAGCAAAACATCACTCTGGTGTATATAATGAGGGATCTGGTATTATTTCTTCTTTGACAGGAGCAAACAATATTACAGTTTTTTGAGAAACAGTAAAAGTTTCACGTTGTTCTCAAAATGCTATTCCTTATCTTTATTTTAGAAACTAGCTGTAAAAATGCTCGTACCGTTCGTATTTGAGGTAATGACTGCTGATATTTCCCTGAATTCTGCTAGGTTTTTGTCCATGTATTGTGTAGTTCTAGCAAACATACTGTATACGTGCGTTGTGTGCGTATTTGTTTTATTAATGAACGTATGTTAACAACTTGATAATATTAACCGAGGTTTGAAACGAGTCCTTGCATTTTGATGCAACATATATGTTTTGGTCTTGTGAATATATACACGGTTAACGTTAAAATAACTATATTAAGTCCTTGTTATATATTATTTGTTTTATTCATAATCATGACTTCACTTTAATAAAAGAAATATTATACTGTTCTTTTAGTACATTGAGCAATCATCGTTAAATTTGATTCGTTTCTCAGGTAGAATTAATTAAAAGTATATTTTGAAAGAATTAAATGAATTACATCTAGCTTAATATAAAAATGCTGGCTGCTGTAGAAATATTATTCCTCAATCTTGTAATACAGACATTTCTATAGCGAAGATCCTTAACAGCCTCTCCCCTAAGAAAGATAAGTTGTATAGCATACGATATTATCATGATAAATATGTTAAGACACTGGCTATGCAAACAAAAGCATAATTATGCTTATAACTATAACAATCACATACTTTCAGATTGTTAATATTTAACAAAGTTTTAAAATTGTTTAGTTAGAATGAAATGAATTTTCCCCAATTCTAGTGATGATCCTCATATTCATTTTTGTTTTCATTATTAAAAGTAAATATGTCGCTAAGTCACTGTTTTTTTTTTCTTTTTCTTTTGAGATTAAAATATTAGTTAATCTTGTTCAAAGTGTGGGAGATATTGTTTTCTTTTGAGGATACAGGCAATTAATTAATTACATAATATGTTATCCATATAATTTCGTTATATCTGGACAATTCAAAAATTATCATGTTAATATGTATAGGCATGTAATACAATTGTGTATATAGCGATAATTCCACGACTTATGAATGGGGCAGTTTTGGGGACAAGTGTTTACACTATTCAAAATGATTTTGTTATGAACTGTGTTTTTAATGTCACTTGAGCATTGTCGCTGGAAATGATTTTTAAAAGGGAAAAGATGATGTCTCGAGGAAAAATCATAATTTTAATAATTTATTTGTTTTATATAGCAAAGAACAATAAATAAGTAGGCATTTGTTATTAAACTAATTATTGGAAAAGAGATTTGTGCATATGTATTCGTAAACAAACTAATGACTACAGCTCGCTCTAAAAGAAATAGCACACTCAATCATTTGGATGTGGACACGGTGATTAAAGCATTAAGATTCTTTATTTATCAGTCTAGTCATGGTATACCCATGATAAAAACCGTGATAAGCAGTCAATTCCATGAGTCATCACATCTTACAAACCAATTAATACTTAATTATTGACAATTATGGCGACATAAACGCATTAAACCTAGGATAACGGGTTATTGCTGGTAGACATTTTTACCTAAGTGTATTGCACGACAGATTTATAATATCATCAATTATTAAACCAATTACTAAATAAATGAAAGCAAGAAGTGGAATTATTGTATCGTGCTCACATTCAATATCAAGTCATTCAAAGGAGTTATGGGATTTTCTGTCGGTTCACCTTAAAATTACATCCATAAGACACACAAGGTAGGCGGGAGCATTTTTTTTAATAGCGCTCTATTTTTGCCAAAAACTTCGGAATAGGTTTGGACATTTCGCAATGTTCGAGAATGTAAACATGATCACAAGGGAATAAGCCAGTCTTGGTACATGTTTGATGATAGTCTGATCAATCCTTTGACCAGACTCAATACCAGTTTTTTGCGTCTTTCATCGAAGGTGGGCATGCCCAATTCTTGATTATTGTTTGTTATTTGGACTTTAATTCAGTTATTTATGTACAGTTTTATTTACGCAGGATTGCCTTTCACTTAGTTAACTTCTATCCCTTTGGGTACTTCAAAATAAAAAAAATAAAAATCTTTACAACATGTACACGCTTCATGATTACAAAAAGAACAAACAAATAATACAAGAAAACAAAATTATGATAAGGAAGATCAATAAAAAAAGAATAAATATTTTGAAAACAATATTTCAAGTGTAACTAAAGATATGGTATAATAACAAAATCCAACTTATAAATTAGTAAATTGTCCATGTAGTGTTTACTGCCGTTGAGAGGAAAATGAAGTAATGAATATATGATAAAGACGGAGTCGAAGAGAAATAAAAAAAAAATAAAAAAAAACAGAGAGAGAGGCGGGAGGGCAAAAATTGATTTCGTGGGTATTGAGTCCGCTGAAATGGATGTCCTAGAAGAGTGTACAAGTATAGTACAAAAGACACGAAAATGGGAGAGTGGTAGAATAATGGAGAAAAGGAGCAGGAGGGTCGGCGTGAAAGAAATAAAGAGAGAGAGAGAGAGTGTGTGACAGAGATAAAGAGGGATTATTTATACCTGTACGTGAATATGTATAGTAATCCTGTACGCTGTAATGTTTTTTTGGATAGCACAAAAACAGTAATACCAAAGTCTCTTTAAAAATAGTGTATTTATGGGTCATGTCTCTGTTCAGCATTTAATTGATTCCATTGTTTCGACCTTAAGTACCGGAGATTTAGTTTACCACTCTTGTTCATAATATTACCTGTTTATTGAAGGGAATTAATGGTTCTTTTTATCATGTTTCGACTGAGTATCGGGTTTCGTGAAACGTTGGCATTAATACTGGGGGCCATTCCATTAACAAACTTGTAAACTTCGCTCACTCTATCAACCTGCCATCTTAAGTCAGTTTATTTCCATTGTAAGGCCTGACATAAATCTGGTATGGGGGTTCTTAGATGCGCTCTCAGGATCATTCTATCTTAAGAATCTATCCTACAGTTTGACAAGTATCACAATAGTCGACTAGGCATTAAGAGGGAGGTACATAGTAACTTAAACATAACATTTGGAATTCATTGCTTTTTCAGATATTCTATGAAAAACACATTTCTTTGATAGTTTTCTTCGTCATAAATTTACCATGGTACCTATATGACATATTTTCGTCTAGAAAGAAAACTAAGTATTAACAAAAGTGATTATTGAGTGACTGAAACACAATTAGATTTGGTATCATATGCCCCAGATACCAATTGCTACAATTACATCAAAAGCATATGGAAAACTTTTACAATTCATTTTTATTTCAATTTTCCAATTTAGAGTGCTTTTGTCTCAATGTCTAAGGAGAAAGAGCGCCCTTCTTGTTTAAACATTTACAACACACATCCTGTTATTCTTAATCGATGATTTAGTTAAGTTTGCGAAACTGAGTCGGTGTCAGAAGGAGAAATTGATAGTTGTTTCGCTTTTACGCTATATATCACCAACGATTCTTCCAAAGTATGGACTATTAGTTCAGAAGCATTTAATCTTTTCGTATTGTGTGTTTGCGTTCATGATCATCGACAGAGTGCCATATACGCTCGTCAAATAGATTTTCGAATGGCAACATTCGACTGCTGAATAATGATGGCGATTTGTGCAAAAGTTCTTGTTTTTCTCGCCGCTATCATCTCCAAATCTGGTAAGTGTTGTGTTGTACCGATTCAGATTCAGATCGCACCACAATAGAATGAGTATAAAATTCCCCGCGTGTAGAACGATGACTTCCGGCGTGCTATTGTAGCTCAGGTTCACACCGGCAGAGATAGCGCGGTCTAGCGCGCGCTAAACCGCGCTATCTCTCGTGGACCACCCCCAAGAGGTGCTCTAGTGGCACGCCATTTTGGCTCGCCGTGGCTCGCTGTTGGGCGGACCGAAACGACGTTGTACCTTCCACACCGCAGAGATAGCGCGGTCTAGCGCTCGCTAGACCGCGCTATCTCTGCCGGTGTGAACAGCCTCCTTAATAGCGTTAGTAGGAGGTGTATTTTGATGTGATGTAAATATATGTGGCGGTACGGGAGGACAAGCCCCCGTCCAGGGGTGAGAAACAATTAAAAGAAAGACAAAGTGAGAACAGAGAGGAAGTGTGAAAGGGAGTAAGGGATAAAGCCGAGAAAAAAGACACATAGAGCATCCCTCGCATCCTTCTCATTATCAAACAGAAATCGCATTTCATTTTCTGAATAGGTCCGGTGCCAACCCACCCATCCCCCATCCTCCTACCTCAGTCATTCAAGTACCCCTTCAGTAGGTTGAATTGCCCTACGTCACTTGTTGTTGATGCATGTTGATTGCAATGTAGCAGATAACTTTCCTTTGGAATTTGATTAAATTTTACTCGTGTAGGATACCATGCATTTGAAGTATCTATTCAGACATCCGACTCTCTTCCAGTCATTGGCAAGGATTTTACAATGGTCTGCACCTTCGAGCCGCAAACCAGATATAGGCGGGTATTGTGGACAAAAGGTAACAACGTTATAGTGGCCTCTCACTCTTGTTTGCTGGATTCGGCTTGTAAAGGGTCCAACGTTCCTTACCCATCGAAGTTCAGCTTGTTGACAGACACTAGCAGCGGAAGTTTAATAATACACAAACTTGACATAAATGATAGACACCTACCATTGCACAATATCCAGTACGACCGTGGAAACGAATCCAGGGTCAACTAGCATGCAAGTGACACCATTGTCACCAGGTATAGTATTCAGTATTATGAATGCACACAACAAAAATCAAGGAAAAGATATGGTTAATTCATGATGTTGAGTGTATTTGTGGATTAAAATCTCAATCAAACGTCTGTTTTGTTTTTCTTAAATACTGTGAGTAACACGATGACAGGCTTTAACACAAAGAGAATGTTCACAAAAAAATTGCGGGTGATTTACTTGATTCATCCATATTATATCAATATTCTACGAAGTATTATGACGATTGTCTCAATATTTATTTTTGGGAACAACTTTAACAACCTAATTACTCAAGCAATGAGCTTAACGTTTTTTTAAAGGAACTATTCTAATGATTTCATGATGCTCCAGTGATACATTTTGAAGTGGCGCTCTTTGAAAGGCTCTTTTAGAGTAATGATTGATTACATCTAAAAGAAAGTTAGACTATCGGAGTGGAGAAGTAGATTTCGAAGCGACCTTTATTCATTGTGTCTATTCTTTCTTCTTGCGCCAGCTCCGCCCTATAGGATCATTATTACTGATGGGATATTGAGAGGTTATACCCCTAACAACGCCTCTGTAACAGTAAAAGCTAGACAGCAACATGACATCACATGTGAAGCATACGGGGCAAGGCCTCCTGCAGTACTAGAATGGCATATACCAGATGGTGTAACCGTGGTTCTTCAGAAACAGTCTGATGTCGTACAAGACAACAGCTATGTCTCTCTGAAGGCTGTTACAATCACGCCCTCTAGGAATGATCAAGGAAAGAGTCTGTACTGTGTGGTATCACATCCAGTGCTACAAAATAATCTTCAACACTCAGTTCACCTGAATGTTCAAGGTAAGTAAATATGTTATGTACAGTGCGTTTTATTTTTGTTGTCATGCGGTGTCAATGTTTTTAAAGCTGAATCCATGTCTTGTTCTTGTTAATTTGTATGTACCGCTCTACTCAGACCGCAACATTTCAACAGTTTATGTGCCGAAATCTCAAGGAATATTTACGATTATTAATTCGTGATATTCTACAAACAAACTCTTTATATCCATATGTACAAAACTTATAAATAAAAGATATTACGTTCGTGTAAGCATTATGTAATGTTTCTTAAATGATTTTGTGTGTTATTTGTTATTCTCCCTCTATTTTATGAAGTTCTACCTTCTAGCTTGTTACTTTTTCGAAACGGAGATAACATGGAACACGAATCTGGGTCAACATTCATTTACGTTCAAGAAGGTTCATCGACTTCAATCACTTGTAAAAGTATTGGATCGTTGCCAGCGGTTGAACTATCATTGACTCTTCTTGATGACACTAGCAGTATTCCTGGTAACTTAAACCTTTCAAAGTATCCCAATGCTTTAGAAGGAACTTTGTTTGACACCGAAAGTACCATCGCAATACATCCAGAAAGAAAGCACCATAGAATGTTCATTCAATGCTATGTTTCTCTGGACGGAGACTTTATTCATGTACTATTAGCCAAGTTGATCGTTTACGGTGAGTTTGGATTTTCAATATATCAGCATTGGATCTTCCTTTTAATATCCCCGGCGAGAAATTGCATTTTTATTATGGATTTAATCCACTGTAAGGCCCTATCTTCGCTACAATCATAAGGACATTGTTATATGTATGCCTCGTCATCTACCCAGTTTAAAGGAATCATTATCATTGATAAGTTATCGTCAACTATATGACGAGGAGGAAACGCGAACGTTTATCAATGTATACCTCAGTTTTACCTCGTCTTTTAACAGTATTACGTCCGAGAGCGCATAATTCTTTTCCCCAAATGACTCTTTGACTCATTAAGGCTTTACCCATAACCATACATTTCATTCCATTGTACAGGCCCACCAGATAATGTTAAAATGACAACCCCTGATGATCTACGTGATGGTATAGAAACCAACGTAACCTGCACAGCTGTTAATGGATACCCTGCTCCGCTCATCCATTGGTACATCGGATCAACAAATGTGACACAAGATTCGTCTTTTAAGACTTCAGTGAATGAAATTGGTCGGTATGATGCTGAAAGCACCCTTACCCTCATACCAAAGAGGATTGATCATGGAAAACCTCTTATTTGCCAGGCAGTTCAACCTACAACACCCTCAATATGGTCAGTGAATGATAGCATCGTTCTCAACATATCATGTGAGTATTCATTTTCATTTAAAAAAAAATCGTTTGGACATTACCATAGAGAATCTCCCAAAACTGCGTTAGATATTTGTTTGTCTACGCGTTCACAAACTATCCGCAAGGGTCTTCGTCTGCTTTCGCTTGTATTTTCTTTAAATTCTACACTTTTTTTTTTAAATTTCTACTTGTATGTAAATTTCTGGAACTGCTTTATACGTTCCATGTATATAATTCCTTGTTTTTCATCTGACACATAATGTATGTGTATAACGACACGTCAAAGTAATAGACTATAATATAATTTCTTCTCTTTTTCCCTGCATACATTGACAAATTTATTTTAGTCCCACTCCATCGACCTTAATTTACCACCCCAGTCCTATCCCCATCACTTCCTCTCGTTCTATTTTCTATCACTTCCACTCAAATTTATTTCCCAACATTTTTTAAAAATCTAGATGACCCAGTTGTGTCCGTCTGTTCTCGACGGCTAACATCAAATAAAGTGCGTACTGGGTTCGTTTTGACATGTACCTCCGACGCCAATCCTCCTGCTTTTATCTTCGAATGGTTCCGTAATGGCACAAAGTTGTCTAACAACCACCATAAGATAACGCTCTCCGAGACTATACAAGAAGGTGAAACGCTGACTTTCAGTGAAATGGCGATTCGAAACACCCAGTCAAAAGATCCATGTGATTACAAATGCGTAGCAGTGTCAATATATGGTACCGGTAGTGCAGTCTTTAACTTCACGTTGTCTCGTAAGTAGAAATGTGCTTCTCATAGTTTCGTTAGGTTCAATTGTCTGATTCTCCATATTAATTTAACTAAATGGGGCTTGCTTTCAAATATACAAATTAAACTTATATCAATTAAATCATCTTATATTCATCAATAATGATTCAAGTTATTAAACTGAAGAAACATTACCATACAAATGTGTTCTTTAAAATTTACCACTCATTATGTAGTTATTTTCGATCCACGTTCTTGGCTCATCGTCGAGCAAAACCGAACGACATATTCAGCTCTCTGCGCTGCTTGGCAATTAAGATTCAACATAAGGTTACGACACATTTGGTACTATCGAAAGTTCAAGGTAAAATACTAAAACATTTCATCGATTGACTTTTAATATCAATAAATCTGCCAAAAGTGCCAATTAAATTATGTTTTTAAAACCACTTTTCATTCATAAATGACCATCCCCACTTATGCTCTTCAGAGAGATGAATCGCTTTCATTTTCGTAGCGCAAGAACAAAAGTAAGCCATTAATCTCTGTGCCTATTTATTCTGCCAATACAAACCAACATCGCCTCCTCCTCACTTTTTTATCGGCAATAATATTCTGGTTTATGACACAAAGTCCCCAGTTTGAATTCATAGGGAGAGACAAAAACCGTGGATGACAACATGAATGATTTTGTTCGAACATTCATCTTTCTTGCCTTTATCGCATCTCAAACTTATGAGACAAGCGTGTCTACTCATATTTGGAACCCAGAAGTCCTCCCAGTCGTTGGAGAGAATATCACACTTGCCTGCATTTACACGCCACCATCTACGTCTCGGCTACTGTCGTGGCAGGACGAGAACGGCATTATACTGGCTAACGAAAGATGTCAAGGAGTAGGATGCACAAACGAGCAAAATGTTCCAGATATATCCAAGTACAGTTTGAAGGCAGATTCTTCGAGTGGAAATCTAACTATTAGGCATTTAACAATGGATGACAGCGGCAGATATCAGTGCTTAGTGGGCACTTTTTCTGATGCAGCTTATGATGGAATTGAACTGAAAGTGTTGTTATCAGGTAAGATGTTTCCGTTGTATCGTATTATTCTCGGGATACTAATAAAATGTACGAACATACATAATTCGTCGGCTGCCTGCAAGAGGGCCGTGAAAGTTGTCTATTGCCAATGGTAGTATTGGTTAATTGTATTTTTGTATTTATTAACATTTATTTCCCTCTCAGCGGTACAATATGAAACAAATTGTTTTATATAAATTATATATTTAAGAATGACGTCAACAAAGAGTATACAATATGTAATTCAGATAACAGAAGAAGGCGAAAACTCGGAAGTCTACAAATACTTTGTTAATTTATGAAATTAAAATGTCGTTTGAAAATGATAGGGTTAGAATTTGTGTCACTGCACGAAAAGAGACATATTTCCAAACAACCAGTCTAATTTCATTTGTGACTGATAATCATGCCACCTGCAATCACTGCCATTTTGCGATCATGACAACGTGTCAAGTGTGGTACATTTTTGTCTCAGATGTCATAGTTTTTTTGAGACATCTCGCTTGGAATGAAAACTGTATGAATGTTTTCTCACCTGCAGTCGAACCTAGATTGCTTTCCATCACTGACGGTCTGACTCAGAATCGATACAAGTATGGTTCATCTGTGAGCATCACATCTGGGCAAATCCACAACCTAACATGTTCAGTCCAAGGCGCTAGGCCACCTGCAGAACTAGAGTGGCACATTCCTGAAGAAGTGCAGATTCGACTGGAAGATCAGTATAACGGTGTTAGTGGTGACGCTTACACCTCTCAGACAGTTGTTTCTGTTACTCCGTCTAGGAATGATGATGGAAAGATTTTCCGTTGTGTGGCATCGCATCGGGAGCTGGATAATGAGCTTCAACTATTCATCCAATTAGATGTTCAAGGTGATTATCTTACTAATGATATCATCCCATGTTCGCCCGGTGTGTGTGTTCTACCTAATAGGTAAATATACTTCCCAAATGTCAGGATTTTCGTTAATGGATGAAACATTCAACATCTTCAAAATCATTTCCCACTCTTCACTTCACTATATCCCATGAGTTTCTTACCGATATCATACTGTTTTCATATTGTTACAATAGTTCACTTTAGTATCTGTCCTTTCAGTAGCTGACTCCGTATGAAATGTGGGTTCTTCCTTTTTCTACCAACTCAGTACCGCCAAGTGACCTCGAGCTTACTGCGTATGGATCCATAGCTTCCAATGCAACAGAGACAAGAAGTGTCATTATCTTTGAAGATTCTGCAACATCATTCACCTGCAAGAGTGTAGGATCTCGTCCAAAAGCTCTTATATCGTGGACCATTGGTTCAGAGGACGACCTAGGAAGCACAACATCTACGTCTACGACGAATGAGGCCGACCAAGGTCTACGTGACACCAAGTCCACTCTAGAGATGATTCCAAGGAGGAGGCATCACAATAAACTCCTTCGATGTGTGGCCTGTGCTGGTATAAATCAAAGTCACACAGAAGTGAGGGTTATAGTGTTTGGTGAGTATTCGTACGTTGTATGTAATGATCTTCTCTAACTCGAAAGAACTGACCGAATGCGGTCTTGGACATACTGCAAAACATTTGGACATATATATATGTACCTGATGTTAAACTATTTAATTCCAATAACCGGGTAAACTCATACCACAGTTTGTCAATCATGCAACAATATATCTCAAAAGAGTGAACATTTAGAAAATATGTTGTGACATACCTTCGGGACGGCTAAAGCAAATTCCTTTAGATATCAACCGATTTGTTCCTGTTGTCAGAATATTTGAGATTCATGGGTCAGTGTTGTTAACATATCATCAGGTTTAATGTACTGTGTCGGTACATATGATATATGCAAGTCAACAATAAAAACAAACTGTGACATAAGGAATGCACTTTGCCTTTCAAGGACCACCGGATCCCCCATACCTAAATGGAACAGCCGGATTACAGGATGGAGTGTCTTCAAATGTGACTTGCACATCGAACAACGGCTACCCAGCACCAGCTTTCCAATGGTACCTTGGTTCAGAGAACATCACCAAAGATTATAATACACATTATTCGAGGAATATAGATCATCGACTTGATGCCATAAGTGTTTTCAATTTCACACCCACGGTAGACGATCGTGGAAAACTCCTTGTCTGTCAAGTTGTTCAACCAAACGCTTCATCCATGAAGTATTGGAGTGTCAGTGAGGTGATTCATGTTCTGTGTAAGTCTGATAAATTTAATCCTAAATCGTTCATCAAGTAGATCTTATTAGGAGACAAGTATATTACGTTGCCTCACCATCATATAGACATTACTACCGTTCACATATTTGGTGTTAGCATCCTGTTTGCTTTGAGCCGGTGATTATATTTACGTTTCTATGATTATATTGAACAGGCAAGGTAAGCTTTTTGTTTTACAAACATCACCTGACTCGATTGTCTATCCTTTTACAAAGTTATGTTTGTGTTTCAAGAACATTTATGAATTAAACAGGTTTGGTTCAGATTAATAACTGTAGAAAGATCACTCTATGTTACGATAATAGTGCTAACAGGCTAGTTTTACACGATATTGGTAACTATTAAAACATGTATTAACTACGCTATTAGGAACACCATTTCAAATGTTATTTTCTTGAACTTCGCATTATTGTTTCCTGAACGTATTTTGTTCTTTCTAAATACAAACATGTAGATTCTCCTGCTATTGTTGACAACTCTGTTCGTCGGGTTTCCAGTGGTGAACAGAGCGTTGATGCCACTCTTACATGTACATCAGATAGCAACCCCCTAGCCTCAATAACCTGGTTCTTGAATGGCGAGGAACTCATAAACGGAACCCGCCATCACATTCACCACAGTCATCCACAAGAAGATAAATTGGGGTCGAGTATTCTGATTATTGTAAATATTTCGGCAGAAGACGATGGCAACTATACATGTTTGGCTGACACAAGGCTTGGGAGCGACAGCGCAACGATAACCTTTTCATATTCTGGTAATCTTCTACAATCTTCTACAATCAGACCACGGCGCATTTATGTAAAATGTTTATGTCCTATTGTTCAGATTGCCTGGTACAGTGATGTGCCCATTGTAATCCAAGATAACAAATGAGAACAGTATCATACTGCCACGATTGTTTAACCTATGTATTGAGATGATAACTCAGTTACAGGGAGTATCGGCAAATGTTACAGTAGATTACCTTGGCGACCATTATGACAAAGTCCCTATGCAAATTGATTTGGGATTACAGTTGGGTTAAATATTGTAAAACTGACTAAAAATTGGGTGAACGTAAAGCGTAGTGTTAGGGTTAGGATTAGGTTTAGGTAAAAGGGTTTGGCCCAGGATTTAAAAAGAAAATCGAAAAATTAGAGTTCGGTTGGTATACGAAGTGATCGGGTTGTCGCCGAAATGTGTGACATACAGTCGTCACTACGACAGTACGATATGAAATTATATCCAAATAAATTGTATTGCTTGGATACTTGTTGATTTTCGGGTAACAAATATGTTGTCTCTGTCACTGATACCATCTTTTTTAAATTTTCTCCCAGGGATTCCAGATCCGCCTTATGAGTGCATCGTCGATCAAAACCAGACGACATCAACTACTCTCTTCATTGCTTGGCAACCTGGAATCGATGGGTTTCAACAAAATATCACTTTGGAGTATAATACGAGGAAAAATAAATCAAAAGAGGATATTTTTGTTTATCGCAATAGACAATATATATATATATATATATATATTGTATTTTTAAGATAATTTCTGCCTATAAATTTAAAGATAAGATCATTATTACAGGTCGCCCTGAAGAGCACACTCTCTCGTTTGGATATAGACAAGGTGATATACTCGTTAATAGATTGTACTGTATTTATTTATTTAATTCTTGGTATAATACAAATCGTAGATACAGTACATTAATGCAAATGATTGAAGCAAACAAATTCCAGATGATAATCAGGATAGCTTGACCACTGAGGTTCAAATAATTCAAGAAATAGTACAATCAATATCAGTCATGAAACATAATTCGTAATTCAATGGAGAAAAGTTATTGCATTTGTGATCAAAGTTATAAAGTATCTAAAAAGAATTGAAAAGAGAATACAATTCTATAATTATAATTCAAAGGTTTGAGTATGAAAATGTGTAAACATATTGCGAAACAATTAGCCGTTTATTTTATGCAGGGCTTGAATGGTGTGAAAGATTGTTTATATTGTATTGTGATTTAAGATTGTATTTATTCAAAGGTGTTTTTCTCTTCTTCATGTTACTTTACATTTGCATTTAAGCGCCAAATGAGCCTGGTAGGGGAGAACACTTCTTTATTCACGCTCTTTTTTGTTAATACTTCGTTTTTTGTCATTTTACCTTAAATTTGCAATCACGAGCCAAATGAGTTTGGGGAAAAGATTCAGAGTAGGTTTGGAAGTTTCGCAGTGATCGAGAATTAACACTGATCGCAAGTGCAAAAGACAGTGTTGACAGTATGGTCAATCCTTTGACTAGACTTAATGTCAGCTTATGCCGTCTTTCATCGAGGATGGGCAGTCCCTAATCTTTGATAATTGTTTGTTATCGTAACTTTCATTCATTTATTTATTTAGTTAACAAACTGCTTTCCCTGCTAGCCCTGCTTGTTGGAAACAACGTGAATATATAACTTACAAATATAATAAGTACAAATTGAAGACATTAATAGCAAACGAAACAAAGACAAAAACGATATTATGAATACAATATTGCAAAGTGTAACAAAACATACGGTATAATAAAAACATCTATTTGATACAAAATTTCCAAGTTCTGTTTAACGTCGTTGAAATGAAAATGAGATAATAAATAGGAGATATTCAGAGGGGATATATTAAGGGAGAGTACATATGGTTTGTAAAGAAGGATTCAGAGAGAACGATAGAGAGAGAGATAGAGAAAGAGATAGAGAGAAAGGGGAAGGAAGAAGCGATGGAGAAAAAAGGATTGGGTGGGTATAACAAGAGTCATGAGTCAGCTAAAGTGTATGTCCTAGAACAGTGTACAAGTAGGGTACAACATACACGGAACATGAGAGAGGGTTAGAAAGCGGGACAGAGAGACAATGAGGATGGGAGAGAGACAGTTAGAAAAACAGAAAGAAAGGATGAAAGAACTAGAAATGCAATCGTGTCAGAACGATGTGCGTGCAATGACGCCGTGTTTCTACGTGTCAAACGAAAGAGCTTCTCTCGGACTATCCAGAGCAATTTGCACGAAGTCTGTAGCTTCTGTGATATTGGAGATAGGTAGGGCGAAAGAAAGGCATCAACAGTGACCTTGATGGGATGGTACTATGCCTACGAAGTTTGAAAGAAATTGGGATAGGGGAAAGAACCTAGAAAGGGCTCGCCAGCACTGCGTGCACAAACCAATGGGATTTGGTGCATGTTTGACATTGCAATCAAGTTCGTTCTGGGGGCCAAAAGCGTGAACCCGATATGCCCCATAGACAATGCGTGTAATGAATGGGCGGAAAACGTGCAGGATCTGTATTATGGCCGGAGTTAAATTGTTTTTTCTCTCTCTCTTTACGTCTCTTTATGGGCCGTATTTGGTATCATTAGAAAGAGAATTTCATGGTTGTTATTGTAAACCACTCTCTTTTTTTCTATGATAATCCTATCGAAACACGTGATGTAAAATAGATGTATAGGACAAAATGGCGTCTTAAATGGCCCCCTTGACCAATTTCAAAAATCCGGCCAAGAGGTGCCCTGCGTATTGGAACTCGGCATGTCACTGCAAAATTTCAAGGAAAAAAAAGGACTTTTAAGGGGCGAAAAGCAGTCTGAAAAAATGACGTCATAGCCGAAACGTGTTAGGTTCGGGCGGGACCTCGGCGGAATTCGTGTAGTGATCTTTGTTCAAATGCGATTTACTCACAATTTTCTGTGTGAACATATATAATACTTGGTATCATCCGAAAGGGCACTTCATTGCGGTCACTTTGACACCATTGTTAACTGCGCGCAATGTATTGCGCGCATTGAACGCGCTATTACGTAATCCATAGTAAATTCATCATTTTTGGCGATAACTTTGCGCTGACATATTCGAATTTTACCAAACTTGGTAAACAGTTGTCACGTATATGGATACATATGTCTGCAAAGTTTCATTGATGTAGGTATAACGATCGCCATTTTAGAGCAAGTTGAAGTTATTTCTCAATTTTCTTGAAAATGGCGAATTTGGAGGGCAATTTTCTCAAATTTGGTCAGTGATAGGGTATATAATTTTGTATATGGCTGGAAAGGGCATATCTTCAAGTATCTAAATCCAAAAAAGGGTACGGGTTTGCCAAGCCATTATGGAGATACGGCCACAGAGAGAAAGCCAATTCCCAGAACTTTAGAGGGCGCTATTTATGTTGTGCAAAGCCATTGGAGCGTGAAATTTGGCATGGCTATGTGCAATTATAAGATAAAGATACTGTGAGATTTAAATACAAAACGAAATTTATATGAGAAAGTTATGGCAGTTTTAGATTATTTAGGGGTCCATTTTTCAAGAACTTGAGAGATTTTTGACGGAGTCGGTTTTAGATTTGAATTTCGAGTATGAAGATGGCATTTTGAAGGGCAGGTTATGTGTCGCAGATGAAAGAACATCTCTCAGACTATCTAGAGGAATTTGTTAGAAGTTTGTAGGATCTAGGATATTGGAGATAGGAAGGAAGATATAAAGGCCTTAAAATGGACCAGAAACGGACAAAATGGCGCCTGGACGGTCATGCATAAGTGATTTCGAAAATCGAAAAAGTAGGTGACCTTGATGAGATGCTAGAGATGATGCCTACGAAATTTGGAAGGAAATGGATATGATGAAGGCACCTAACTGGGAATAACAAGCACTACGTGCAAAACGAATGTGATTTCCGGACGATAAGGAATATACTAAGGAGAATATTAATGGGGCAGAATGTGAACGAAAACAAGGCAATGACGAAGGTTCGTCATTGCAAATATCCTTAATACATGCACATGAATACGTATACAGTTACCCTGTACGCGGTAATGTATCCCAATGGCAAAAAAAGAGTTATACAAAAATTGCTTTGAAATATTTGAGTGAAGAGGCTATAGTCTCTGTTCGTTCGGAATTGTAATTATTCCCTTGTTTCGACCACATTAAATTTCGTGTACCACTCTCATCGACATAACATCGTTTCTTGAAGGGAGGCAGTGGTTTTTGATAGTGTTTCGACTGAATATTGGGGTTTCGTGAAAATATTGGGGTTTTTGGATGCGCTTACAGGAACATTTTTGCGATGCTATTATGAAGTTTTTCTAGTCTATCCAAGGATCCAGTGGAAGAGTTTGACCAGACAACATCACTCAAGTCGAATAATGGCATTACGAGGGAGGTATATATTATTTCAAACTTAATTGTCTGTGCAATTGTATTAGCCATGAAGTCAGCATGGGACCTATATGACATATTTCGTCTAGAAAGACAACTGAGCATTTAAAATCGTGTTATTAAGTGACTGAAACACGATTATATGCACCATCATAAATTAGCAGCTTCTGGAACATCAAAATCCTATGGAAAAAATATCCGTAAGTTGGTTTACGCTTTCTAGTTTAGAAATAGTAGGACAGAAATACGTTTCTTCCTGTTTATGTTTATTATTGGAACTTTTTAATAGTAAATGAAAACACGGATAAGTTTAGGTATTCATACGCACCATATACACATTTCAACAATGACATCAAGAGCATAAGTCAAACTTTTGCAATAAATGTTCAAATCGGAAGTAATTTAGTCACAATGTCTGAAGTGGAAGAGCGCCCTTCTTGTTAAAACATTTACAACATACACAATTTCATTTCGAGCTAATGGCTTGGTGAAGTTTGTGAAACTGAATCGGTGTCAGAAGAGCACAATGATATTTGTTTCAATTCAAACGCTATAAATCACTAATTTTCAAAGCATGGTCTATTAGTTCAAAAGCTTATCTGCTTGCATTCATAGTCACCGAAAGTGTGTGGTATGAGCTCGTCAAATAGAATTTCGACTGACGTGATTCGATTGCTGAATAATGTTGCCGATTTGTACAGAAGTTCTTCTTTTTCTCATCGTTATAATATCCAAATCTGGTAAGTTTTATTTCGTGTTAACTTGATAAAAGTCGTTGGTACTCAGCTAATACGGAGAATTAGAGAGATGTAAATAAATCAATACACTAACCGTCAGTATTTGCATTCATGTTTTGAAATTGTTGTCTGTCTCATTATCCACTTGTATTATTTTGCTCTCTTTATTGTTTGGTGGAAGTAAACAGATAGATTAAAACAACTATGAAATCACGACGATTGTATAGCAATTATGATCATGGGCAACACACATGGTAGTAAAGCTAAACTAACAAAATAATGTTACCAACTCTAATCTTTGTCGTGCATCCTGTTAACATAGTAATAGCTATCTACGCCAAGTCGTATTGAAAGCTACTTGGGCAAAATAAAATAATATACTGGTAATATTTAACCATTTTATGCAATCGTAAAGTGTTTAACAGAGGCACCCTCCTTATCAGTAAATTCGCATTTAATTTTCTGAATACGTCCATTGCAAAATCTTTGTCGTGCATCCTGTTAAATGTATAGACCAGTTCTGGTCATGTGATTGCTTCCTCAGCACTACATCCTTATTTATGAATCCTGCTGAGTATCGTCATATAAGTAGGAGTTGCATTGTGAAAAAACGTTGTTGAATCGATCAGAAAAGATTGATCATCTAGCATATAAGTATTGGTGTGTACTGCAAGGTTCTGGAATCATCAAAATGATAAGAAATTTTGCCCAGTCTTGTTAAAAATACAAGCAATGTACACATAAACATGCATATGGGACTACACGATACCTATCTAGTCCGGATATATATAATAATTTACAAAATATATCAATTAGAAGGCGGTTTCCCGGCACATTTGTATCATCACGTATTATTTCACATGATTGGTAATAAGAGCCTCCATTTACATTTTTTGAGAGGAGGGGGGTTTCTATACCTTTAACAGTGGTTGCTTTCTACGCCAGGTACGTATTGAGAGTTCTTTGGGCAAATTAAATGATATACTGGTAACCTCTGACCATTGTATTTTATCGTAAATGTGTTTAGCAGTGACACCCTCCCAATCAGTAAATTCGCATTTCATTTTATGAATACGTCCAACCCCCCCCCCCCCCCCTCTTCCACCAACCATTCCCATGCCCTTTCAGTGGGTGGCATTGCGCTACGTTACTATTTGATGCATACTATTAGTAATGTATTAGGTATCTTTCCTATGGAAACTCGTTTTTTGTTCACCCATGCAGGATACCATGCTTTTGAAGTGTCTATTCAGACATTCAATTCTCTTCCAGTCATTGGGAAAGACTACACGATGGTATGTACCTTCACACCGAAGAGGCAATATCGGCGGCTAATTTGGGCAAAGGGTGACAACATCGTGGTTGCCTCTCACGTTTGTTTGCCGTTTTCAGTTTGTACAGTGGTTACCGTTCCTGGCCTATCGAAGCTCAGTTTTTTGGCAGACACTGGCAGTGGAAATTTAACGTTAAAGAAACTTGACAGAAATGATAGCGACAATTACCTGTGCACAGTAAAGAGTGCATATGGGGTGGAGAATCCAGGATCAGATACCATTCACGTGACACCATTGTCACCAGGTATGCTATTGTAATGAATTTTCAAAAGAAAACTCAAGGATATTTATGATGATATTATGGCGATATATGAGTGTACTTTTGATTAAAATCTTAACCAAACCCCCTTTTTCCTGTATTTTATTATATTAATACCACTATGGGAAGCTTGCAACCAATTGAAAGTGGAACATTTTCACATTTTATTAACAGGAAAGTAATTGACTTGATACATGCCTATTATATCATTATTTTAAGAAATGTCCTGATAATACCAGCACAATTTTAGTTTGTGAAATACTGAGGGTTTGCTAGTTGTTATTGTACGGGGAGCAGGGAATTAACTACGATAATGTACAAAGACAATATTTGTGGATGTATTTTTATTTGGCAACATGTTTAACAACTGAATATCTAAATCAATGGTTCATAACATTACTTTTGAAGGAACTGTGTCAATTGTAGGTTATGTTCTATTGCCTAACTTTGAAGTGGAAATCTTGGAAAAGCTGTTTTAGAGTAAATTAATGGTTCCATCTCAAGGAAGTAGACTGTTAGATTAGAGAAGTTTAATTTAAAGCGACATTTATTGATCGTGACTATTTCCCTTTATGTCGCCAGCTCCGCCAAATAGGATACTTATCACGGACGAGAGATCGGGCGGTTATTACACTAACAACGCCGATATGACGGTAACTGCTGGAGAGCTGTATACCATCACATGTGTAGCATTTGGGGCAAGGCCTCCTGCAATACTGGAATGGCGTATACCAGATGACGTAACTGTTGTTCTTCAAAACCAGTCTGATGTCGCACAAAGCAACAGCTTTATCTCTCGGAAGGCAATTACAATCACGCCCTCTACAAATGCTCGAGGAAAGAATCTCCGCTGCGTGGCATCACATCCTGAACTACCAAGCAGCCGTCAGAGTTCAGTTTACCTAAAAGTTCAAGGTAAGGAATACATTTACACAAGTACAACGCGTATTCACTTTTTCGCAGCCTGGCAGTTTATTTTTTTAATCACAATTTACATCAATGTCAGTAAAGTGAGTCCACGTCTTCCTGTGTTTACCTTGTATCAACTGCCACTCAGATATTAAATACTAAATCGTCTCTTTTGCTTTGGATATTTGTACTTTTACTGCTCTTATAGAAACATATTTTGTTATCGCTCCTAGAAGAAATGTTTATGTTGCCTTATATGTTGTTTCTGTCATGAAGCTCAACTGACCATCATGCTCTCTTCTACAACTGGAGATAACAAGCACATTTAGCGTTTCTTACACGACTTTGAAATATGATTTCACGTTCTCCCCTTCTCTTTGTCTCTTTTATATAGTTCTACCATCTAATATGTTGATTTTTCCAAGTGGAAATAACAAGGAACACGAATCTGGGTCATCATTCATTAACGTTCAAGAAGGTTCATCGACTTCGATCACTTGTAAAAGTATTGGATCATTACCAGCGGTAACTTTATCGCTGACTCTTCTTGGTGACACCGATACTATTCCCGGTAACCTTACAACGTATCACAATGCTTTAGATGGAAGTTTGTTTGACACCGAAAGTACCATCGCAATACATCCAGAGAGAAAGCACCATGGAATGTTCATTGAATGCTATGTATCTCTGGACGAAGTCTACATTAATCTGTTGGTAGCCAAGATGATCATTTACAGTGAGTTTAGAGTTTTCAATATATCGAGAATCTGCCTTTTTTTTGTAAATAACCCTAGTGTTAACAAATATAGTGTTAGTATGGGCTTAATCCTCTGAAAAGGGCTTATTTTTCCTACGACTTTGAATACAATTGTTATTTTGTATGTATTCACATCGTCCCAGTTTAATAGAATCATTATTAAAAGGTTATCGGCACCTATGACTTGGAGGAAAAGCAAACGTTTATCACCACGACCTTCGGTTCTCTCATCGCTGTATAATTAAATATAAGGCCAACTGGGGGTGGGGGTTAACAACATGACACTTGGACTCAGTATAGCTTTACCCACAACCATATGTTTTATTTCATTCTAAAGGCCCACCAGATGGTGTTAAGATGAGTACATCCGATGATGTGCATGGCGGTATAAAAAACGTAAGCTGCAGAGCTGTTAATGGATACCCTGCTCCGCTTGTCCATTGGTACATTGGATCTAGAAATGTGACACATGATTCGTCTCTTAAGACTTCAATGAATGTAGAGGATAGGTATGATGCTGAAAGCACCCTTACCCTCATACCAAAAAGGATTGATCATGGGAAACCTCTTATTTGCCAGGCAGTTCAACCTACAACACCATCCGTGCGGGTAGTTCAACATACAACACCCTCAATGCGGTCAGTGAATGATAGCATGGTTCTGAACATAACATGTGAGTATTCATTTTCAGTATAACTTTTGGTTAGGACATTACCATATTAAAAGAATCTACACAAACTTCGTTAGATATTGGTCTGTCAACGCGTTCACAAACTATTCTCAAGAGTCTTCGTCTGCTTTTGCTTGTATTTTCATTAAATCATACACATTTTTTTTCTACTTGTAGGTAAATTTCTGGAAATGATTTCCGCGTTCCATGTAATTTGCTTGCTTCTCATCTGACACAGAATGCATATGGATGAAGAAAAGTCAAAGTAATAGGCTATAATATGATTTCTTCTCTTTTTGCCCTGCATGCATTACACAACAAATTGTAGTCCTACCCCATCAACCTTTATTTAGCTCCCCAATCCTATCCTCATCCTATCCTCCCGTTCTATTTTATATCACCTCCACTCACATTTATTTTCCACCATATTTTTTAATGTAGATGACCCAGTTGTGTCCGTTTCTTCTCGACGGCTAACATCAAATGAAGTCCGTACTGGGTTCGTATTGACATGTATCTCCGACGCAAATCCTCCTGCTTTTATCTTCCGATGGTTCTGTAACGGCACAAAGTTGTCTAACGACTACCGTATCAAAACGCTCTCCGAGACTATACAAGAACATGAAACGCTGTCTTACAGTGAAATGGCGATTCAAAACCCACAGTTCAAAGTTCCATGTGATTACAAATGCATGGCAGTGTCAATATATGGTATCGGTAGTGCAGTCTTTAACTACACGCTGTCGCGTAAGTAGAAAAGTGTTTCTCATAGTTTTTTTAAAGTTTATGTGTCTTGTCCGTCTGATACTCCATATTCATTTAACTAAATGGAGCTTGCTCCAAATATACACATTAAACTTTCATGAATTAAACCATCTCATATTTATCAATAATGATTCAAGTTATTTAACTAACTGAAGAAACATTACCTTATGAATTTGTTCTTTACAATTTACCATGATTAACCTTAACACGTAATTATTCCCGATCCACCTTCTTGGCTCATCGTCGACCAAAACCGAACGACATATTCAGCTCTCTGCGCTGCCTGGCAATATTTAGATTCGGCAAAAGGTTACGACACAGTTGGTACTATCAAAAGTCCAAGGTAAAATACTACAACTTTTCATTGATTGACGGATAATATCAATTAATCATGTTCTGCCAAAAGTGCCAATTAAATTAAGTTGTTAAAACCCCTTTTCATTCATAAATGACCATCCCCACTTATGTTCTTCAGAGAGATGAATCGCTTTCATTTTCGTAGCGCAAGAAAAAAAGTCAGCCCTTAATCTCTGTGCCCATTCATTCTGCTAATGAAAACCAACATCGCTTCCTCCTTACTTTTTCTCGGGAGATATTCCGGTTCATGACACAACGTCCCCAGTTTGAATTCACAGGGAGAGACAATCCGTGGATGACAACATGAATGATTTTTTTCGAACATTTATCTTTGTTCCCTTCATCGTATCTCATACTTATGAGACAAGCATGTCTACTCGTATATGGAACCCAGAAGTCATCCCAGTCTTTGGAGAGAATATCACACTCGTCTGTATTTACACGCCACCATCCACGTCTCGGCTACTGTCTTGGCGAAATGTGGACGGCATTTTACTGGCTATCGACACATGTCAAGGAGTGGGATACAGTAACAAGCAAAATGTTCCAGATGTATCTAAGTACAGCTTGAGGGTAGATTCTTCCAGCGGTAACCTAACTATTAGGGATTTAACAGTGGATGACAGCGGCATATACCAGTGCTTAGTAGGGACCTTTTCTGATGCAGCTTCCGATGGGATTGAACTTAAACTGATGTTATCAGGTAACATGTTTCCGTTGCATCAGATTATTCTCGAAATATACAACGTTCAATTTATTGTGGTCTATTAAATGATGATAGGGTTCGATTGTTTCACTGCACGAAAGGAGACATATTTCAATATAATAAGGCTTATTTCATTTGTGACTGATAATCATGCCACTGCAGTCACCGCAATTTTACAATCATGATAACGGGTCAAGTGTGATACATTTCTGTCTCAGATGTCATAGTTTTGGGGAGAAATCTCGCTTGATAATTTGTATTCTAAGCATGAAAATTGTATACATGTTGTCTCACTTCCAGCCGAACCTACATTGCTATCCATCACTGACGGCCGGACTGAAAATGGATACAAGTATGAAGAATCAGTGAGCATCACATATGGGCGAACCCACAACCTAACATGTTCAGTCGAAGGTGCTAGACCACCTGCGGAACTGGAGTGGCACGTTCCCGAAGAAGTAGAGGTTCAAATGGAAGATCAGTATAACGTTGTTCATGTTGACGCTTACACCTCTCGAAGAGTTGTTTCCGTAACTCCATCTAGGGACGATGATGGCAAGATTTTCCGTTGTATGGCTTCACATCGGGAGCTGGATAATAAGCTTCGATCAACCATCCGTCTACATGTTCAAGGTGATTATTGGTATCACTCTAGACAGATATCTTTGCGTTCGAATAGTATTTTTTAGTGAATAAACATCTGAACGTATGATATTCTAATTCTGATTATTAAACACATTATATTCTTAAAATTCCGAATTACTCAAATTTCTTTGACGAATCTCACTTCTAAATGTCTTGATACCAGACGCACGTACCTGTAATGACTGCTGGTATAGCATAATTCGATGATTATTAATATACTATATTTCAAAACGAGTCTCCTCATCTCTCCATATAAAATAAGAACATGAATCAGTTCTGCCTACATGCCAATTGTTGTGATATTTCTTTTTCACCTCTTATTTAGTCTCGCCAAGAAACCTGCGGCTCACCACCTCTGACCCCATGACTATCGACGAAGCAGGAACAAGAAGTGTCATTGTCTTTGAAGACTCGGCAACATCATTCACATGTAAGAGTACAGGTTCTCGCCCCAAGGCTGTCGTATCATGGATCATTGGTTCGGACGACGACCTGGGAAGCACGGCCTCTATGTCAACCTTGAATCAGACTGACCAAGGTTTGCGTGACACAAAGTCCACTCTGCAGTTTAATCCCAAAGAGGAGGCATCACAATCAACTTCTCCGATGTGTGGCCTGGGCTGGTATAAACCAGAATCAAACAGAAGTGAGGGTTATCGTATATGGTGAGTATTCGTACTTAGTTTTTACGATACCTCATCTTCTTGATTCAAAACAGAAGGCCGAATGCGGTCTGGGACATACTGCTACACAATTGGACATTGATATATACAAGATGCATATTTTAACATTTTGAATAAATGGGTGTACTCCTACCATGGTTTGACTATTCGGCAGCAAGATATTTAAATAATTAAAAATGACAAATTAGGACACTCTTTCGTAACAAACCCTTCGTATGGCTAAAGAAAAACTAAAAAATATAGACATGAACATAATTTATTGTGTCAGAGTATGGGTTACCTGTGATACATAGGCTGTTGCTGCTCATAAAATCGGGAGAACCAATTTTTTGTATCGGTATATATTGTTAATATTTGACACTAGAACTTGAAATCTAAAAATATATTGACATACGAAATACACTTACATTTACAAGGACCACTGGATCCTCCTTATCTAAATGGAACGGAAAGATTACAGGATTAAGTGTCGTTTAATGTGACCTGCACATCGAATAATGTATACCCAGCACCAACGTTCTAATGGTACCTTGGATCAAAAAAACATCACCAAGGATTCTAACACACAGTCTTTGAGGAATAGACATCAACAAATGGAAGCTATATGTGTTCTTACTTTCACACCGACATTACACAATCATGGGAAACTCCTTGTATGCCACTTTTTTCAACGAACTGCTCAATCAATGAAGTCTTCGAGAATCACTGCGGTTCTTAATCTTCTCTGTAAGTCTCCTTTACTTAATGTCTTCCCGAGAAGTCATAGTGCACATCTGATTCTGAGGTACTATTTCTTCTGTATTTCTTTTTCTCCAAAAGTTAACTGGATCATTAACAGCAGCTAACGATTGTGTATTCCCTTTAAAAACATGAACTCTCGTCCATAAATCTGTGTGTATTACACACTTCAGAGTAAAGTATTAAAATCATTCCTTACATGTAGATTTTGTGTGCCATTTGGAACCACCAACATGACGTTTCATTACGTTGGTGAGGGCTACGAGAAATTTTGTTCATTTTTTTTCTTTTCTGTCATTCTTTTATTAAACTTTAGAAAGCCTTCGCATTTGCCTTTCTTTTTTTAGTTCTATAATCATTCGAATGCATTTACTTTTCCTTCTAAATCCAGATCCTCCCGTAATTGAAAGCTTCTTTGTTCGTCGGATATCAATTGGCCAGCGAGGCGTTAATGCCATCTTTACCTGCACATCCAATGGAAGACCCCCTGTTTCTATAGCCTGGCTCTGTAATGACACGAAAGTTAACAACGGCACCCGCCATCAGATTAACCACAGTCTTCTACAAGAATATACCTCGATGTCGAGTATTCTGATTATGTCTAATATTTCAGCAGAAGACGATGGCAATATATACATGTTTGGCTGAAACAAGGCTTGGGAACGACAGCGCAACTATAACCTTTTTACATTGTGGTAAGTATTTCACTATCAGACCAAGGTGCATATATGTATACGGATCAATTTATTTTTATATTGAAGAGATTATTACGAGTTTTCCCACAATGATCAGTCTTAATGATATGATAGCACGAACTAAATAAATTGAACGGATGACTATTGAATATTGTATTTGTTTAAGAGAGTACCCCTTAGCCCAATGGGTCCAGGTCAAACTTTTGGTTCATCGTCGATCAAAACCAGACGACATCATGTAACTCTCTTCGTTGCTTGGCAACCTGGTATCGCCGATGGGTGCCAGCGAAATTTCACCTACAACAATTTATAAAGGATACCAACATATACTACGAGGGTTCTCGTTTTTGGCCATTTTTTTTAATCAGCACACTATGGTGCTGATTTGAATGAACAAAGCGTAGATGTGAGTGTCCATTGAAGATAGTTATTTGTATAGAAGTTTACAATATTGGTCACATTAAAAAGATAAACGATGCCCTCACAATGTTATTCCCAATCTTTACGTTTAATAGAAACTAGTACTTGGGAATAATTTCACCTTTCATCAGTAAGGTAGTTATTGTAGGTCTTTACCTGATTTCAAAAGATAGCTGTATGATAAGTTTTCCATGACAGACTTTGTACTTGTAGCAAACATATTTTATTAATGAAATGTATGTAAGATGATCATTTGATATGAGTTATATGAGTTCACAGAGATATGAAAATAAGATGAAAATACGGACCCAGGTTTGACACGGTTCCTTATTTATTGATGCAAACCATGGTGGTATTTGTTTGTTCCTATGGAAGTAAAATGTAACGATTTACCCTCCATTGGGATGTGGATATTAAATATATATACAGCCTATAATTGCCAAAGGAAGCGAATACGAGATTTTCAAAGCTCAATTGTTATCGATCTTGTGAATTGAAAATGATGTGCCTATAACTAAAACTGTCATATACGTTTAGATTGTTATTACTTAACAATGTATGTTACATATAGTTGTATTAGTTGAAATTAAACGCTTATTCAATGATTTCAGTGATGATACCTTTTTTTTCACTTGTAATTTCAAGTCACTGTTAAAGATATGTGGGTATATTTTTCTGAAGTTAAGTTATTATATCATTTTGTTCAAAGTGTTTAAAGAGAAATTCGGAGAATACTGGCGATATAAACGCATTAAACCTCGGACGATGGAATATTGCTGGTAAAGATTCTTTTACCTAACTATATTGCATGACATATTTTCAATATCATCAATTGTACCAATGATTAAATACTTTTTTTTAATTAGATAATTTTATCGTCGGATTTGGTTTTGTCGTTGTACTTCAAATTTGCATTTAAGAGCCAAATGAAGTAGGGGAAAGTACTTCTTTAATTGCGCTCTTTTTTTCTCGAAATATTTCGGAATAGGTTTGGACATTTTGCGATGATCGAGAATGTAAAAATGATTGCAAGGGGAAAAGCCAGTGTTGAGAGTCTGATGATATTATGGTCAATCATTTGGTCAATCATTTGACCAGACTCAATACCAGCTTCTCCCGCCTTTCATCCAAGTTTAATATGCAGTCCCAATTTAAAACATTAATCCTTTATGCAATAAAGTCTCCATATAACATAAAGGATTGTTGCTTTTAAATATTTGAGTGATGGGGGCAGTTTCGGCTTCGGCATTTAATTGATTCCTAGTTTCGACTCTAAGTTGGTTAACATTAACACCCGTTTCTTGAAGGGAGGCAGATGATGTAGATCGTGTTTCGACTGAGTATTAGGTGTTCGTGAAACGTTGTCATAACTACTAGAGGCAATTCCATTCACACATTTTACACTTCGCGCAATCTATGAAACTGTCACCTTAAATGTATGTCTTCCATTGTAAAGCCTCACATAAATCCATCTGAACAGTTTGGCCAGACAACATCATTTAAGTCGAAAAGTGGCATTACGAAGGAAGTACATAGTAACTTAAACATAACATTTTGAATAAACTGCTTTGCACATGTTTTTTTAAGAAGAAAAAAAAATGTTTATAATTTTCTTTCCCATTATTGAAAGACTGCGTAGCCTTTTAAAAAAAAATAATATTAGGTGACTGAATCACGCTAAGATTTGGTATCACATGTACCATAGATAAAAAGCTACAATATCATCAACAGCCCATGGACAACTTTCGTTAGAGTCTTTACGCTTTCTAGTCTAAAAAAAGGTGGGAAATAAAATGCGTTGCTTTCTTTCTCTGTTTGTTATTGGAACTTTTGATTATTATGTGAATGATAACATGATTAAGTTTGGGTATTCGTACACGCCATACATTTGATGCTAGCAGGGGCGAATCCAGCCGGCAGGGGAGGGGGGCCCAAATCGTGAAAAAAAATATTTAGCGGCGAAACAGCAGGCCGATAATTCGCTCAGTAGGGGGGGGGGGGGGTGGGGGATATTGAGCACTATTTTTTTTTTTTGGAGCCTCGAATATTTAAAAAATCGCACCCCTCCCCCCCCCCCCCCTACCCCCTTTCTTGAGCGCCAGGGGAGGGGGGCCATCTAAAAACAAAGGGTAAAATTAACGTGTTTTTTTTTCAAACGTTTTTTTCTTCAGGGGAGGGGGCCCGGGAGGTGGATTCCGCCACTAAATGCTACAATACATCAAAAGCTTAAGTCAAAACGTTTGCAATAACTGTTCTTTTGATACATACCAATTGGAAGTAATGTTGTCACAATGTCTGCAGAGAAAGAGCGCCCCTTTTGTATAAAGATTTACAGCATGCATACTGTCATTGAAAAAAAATGATGTTTGATGAAGTTTGTGAAACTGAAACGGTGTCAGCTAGGACAAAATTATATTGATTCACTTCTTACGCTATAAATCACCAACAATTCCTTCGAATTATAGTTATGTTAGTTCAAAAACATTTACTCTTTTGGTACTGTCTGCTTGCGTCCATAACCGTTGATCGTACGTGTTATCAGCTCATGAAATATAATTTATTCGAACAGAATTATTTTGGAATAACAATGGCGATGTGTGCAGAGTTTCTTCTTTTGCTCGCCGTTATCATCTCCAAGTCCGGTGAGTTTTGTTTCATTTGTACTTTTGTACTTTTGCCCAAGTGGAGATTTCGGGAGATGTAACGATGTAATGAATTTATCCATCCTCCCACGTATGTCGTGCATCTCTTACTATTGATTGCGCTCTTTGCAAATCACGTATTGAAAACAATACTGGGAAATTATATAATTTAACTGGTAACATTGGGCCATTGCCTATTATTGATTATTTGTTAAGCAAAGTATCTGATCCCTGACGTCGCTTTAAGGGGCGGCATCGGAGGCCACGACCCATCTAGTGAAAAAAACGATGAAAGAAGATGCCCGGATCACCTATCGCACTCTCCCCTTATCAATAACTTTGTAAACTAACATTTTATTGCGAGTATGATAGATCAATGCCCCTAACCTTTCAATTGAACCCTCTATGGGTCTACTCATTCTACGTCGCCGTATCCGACGTACGTTATCAACAGTGTACTCGGTATCCTGCCCTTTGAATCTAATTCATATCATCCATGCAGGAACCCTTGCATTTGAAGTGTCTATTCAGACATTCAATTCTCTACCAGTCATCGGGGAAGATTTTACACTGGTTTGTGCCTTCATACCAAAAACGTTGAATCGGCAAATTGTTTGGGCAAAGGGCAATTACGCAATCGTGGCCTCTCATTCCTGTTTGTCCTATCATCCCTGTACGGAAAGTATTCCTCAGCCTTCAAAGTTTAGTTTATCGGCAGACTCTTCACGTGGAAATCTTACAATAAAACACCTTACAAGGGATGACAAGAGCAATTACAAGTGCACAGTAAGCAATACACACGGGCCAGCGAATCCAGGATCAACTATCGTGCAAGTAACACCACTTCTACCAGGTGAAACAAAGACTTAAACCCAGAATGAAGTATTGGGAAATGAAGCTTTTCCTCCCGTATTGTATAATCATGAAATTATAATAATAGCGTTTAAAGGGAAATCGTTCTCTATCAAATATTACAGCCAAACATGGCAGCAAATAATTGACTTGATACAGGTTTAGCACACGTTTGTTGTTGTTCTTGTGGTTTTGTTGTTTTGGAGCCAGAACCCTTAGCGGTTGGGTATGAGGTATGGCTGTTTATTCTTATTTCATATTTTATTTGGAGTTATGATGACAACAAAATCCAACAGTAGGTAAATTATATTCGGCAACAGAAAAATATGCAGTCACACCAACAAATGTGTGCAATGGGATTTTAAAAGACTGTGGTAATCTAATCGCAACTAGTGATTCAATAACATGGAATTACACTACTGGAGTGGACAAAGTACAATTCAATATTTGATTGTCCCCTCTTTTCACGCCAGTTGCACCCTATTTGCTTTTTATGACGGATGAGAGATCGATCGAGTATTACCCTAACAACGCAAATATAACGGTAACTGCAGGGGAGCCGTATGACTTCGCATGTGCAGCATACGGGGCAAGGCCACCTGCAGTAGTGGAACGGCGTATACCAGAGGATGTAGTTGTGGTTCTTCAGGATCAGTCTGATGTCGTACAAGGCAACGGATATGTCTCTCGGAAGGCTGTTACTATCACTCCCTCTAGGAATGACCAACAAAAGAGTCTGCGCTGTGTGGCATCTCATTCGCAGCTAGAACACAATCTTCAACGCTCAGTTCACCTGAATGTACAAGGTAGTTAAAGTGTCTTCTTCGTAGTTATGTGGTGCCTACGTCATTGAAACTTATTCCATGTCTTGTTTTTCTTACTCGTTATGCATTGATCAATTCAGATTCCAAATTTGGAGCAGTGCCGTTGCAAAATGTCAAAGAATATTTACGAGTGTTGTTAAAGACATTCGTATATTCTTTACCAGTGTTTTTTTTTTTTATCCATTTGCACATACATACTGTCCTTGAAACATTATCTAGCGTTTCTTACATAATTTTGTATGTGATTTGTGTTCTTCTTCTAAATTCTCTTTAATGAAGTTCTACCCTCTAGTATGTTGCTTTTTCCATCTGGAGTAAGGAAAGACTACGAACAAGGGTCAACAGTCATTTACGCTCAAGAAGATTCATCCACTTCAATCACTTGTCAAAGTATTGGATCACTACCAGCAGCTGACCTATCATGGAGACTTGACGACAACAACAGTATTCCCAGTAACATAAGTCTTTCGAAGTATAGCAATGCTGCAGATGGAAGTCTATTTGACACTAAAAGTATCATCACAATTCATCCAACGAGAAATCACCACGGAATTTTCCTTCAGTGTTATGCAGTTCAGGATGCAGTCTTTTTTGATCGACGGATAGCTAAGCTACTGGTAATCGGTGAGTTTACTCATATTCGATATATCGGAATTCAAAATTCCTTTGAATAAGTTTCGCATGTCGATGAGGGATAAGTTATATAGGTCTTATTCATTGGAAGTCCTTATCTTCGCTACGAATTCGAAGAATCATTTCATTTTGGATCCAACTTCATGGAATCGTTATTATTAATAATTGAGCGTCACATGGGACTAAGAGGAAAGAGCGAACGTTAATCACTGTGGCGCGAGAGTCTCTCTTCGATGTATAATTAAAACATTAAGATAAATATTTTATACCAAAGGATAATTTGACACTTTCAGGCTAATCATTCATGTCATTTATGTGTGAAGGCCAATCAGATGATATTAAAATGACGACCGCCGATGATCTACACGATGGTATAGAAATCAACGTCAGCTGCAGAGCTATAAATGGATATCCTGCACCGCTCATCCATTGGTACATCGGATCTAGAAATGTGACACATGATTCGTCTCTGAAGACTTCAGTGAATGGAGCTGATTGGTATGATGCTGAAAGTATCCTTACCCTCATACTAAAGAGGATTGATCATGGGAAACCTCTTCTCTGTCGGGCATTTCAACCTACAACACCATCTTTGCGGTCACTAAAAGATAGCATGGTTTTGAACATATCATGTGAGTATCAATTTAAGTGTAAACTGTTGGTAAGGACAATATAAAAAATATTCTCCTAAACTTGCGTAGGGTATTGGTCTGTCAACGCGTTCAAAAACTATTCTCAATAGCTTCGTCTGTTGTTTTTTTCTTCTGTTAATTCTACACATTTGTTGTTCTGCCTGTATGTGCATTCTTCAGACGTGTACTGTGGGCTGGCGTTCCCCATCTCAAACAGAATCCATATGGATAACGACAAGTCAAAGTAATGGACTATAATAATGTTTTCTTTTTTTTCCTGCATACATTAAGAAGTTTATTTTAGTCCCACCCATTAATCTTAATTTACCGCCCCAGTCCCATCCTCATCCTTTTCCCGCGTTCTATTTTTATTTCAACTCTCTCAAATGTAATTCCCAACATTTTTCTTTGATCTAGATCACCCAGTTGTGTCCGTTTCTTCTCGACGGCTAACATCAAACGAAGTACGTACTGGGATCGTATTAACATGTACCTCCGACGCCAATCCTCCTGCTTTTATCTTACAATGGTCCTGTAACGGCACAAAGTTGTCTAACGAATACCGTAACATAACCCTCTCCGAGACTATACAAGAAGGTGAAACGCTGACTTCCAGTGAAATGGAGATTCGAAACCCCCAGTCCGAAGATCCATGTGATTACAACGCGTAGCTGTGTCAAGATATGGTTCCGGTAGTGCAGTCTTCAACTCCACATTTTCTCGTAAGTAGAACTGTGTTTATAATTGTTCATTTAGTTTCATCTGTGTCTTGTCCATATGATACTCTATGTTCGTTGAGGTAAATGGTCTTCGATTACAAATAAAAACGTTAAATGTATATCCCCCAGAAAAGTTTTATATTAATCATCAATGATACAAGCTATTGAACTGAAGAAACAAGACCCTACCAAAAAAGTTAACGCTTTACCACTTTAACTTTTAAATGCAGTTATTCCTGATTCACCTTCTTTGCTTATCGTCGAACAAAACCCAACGACATCTTCGACTATCTTCGTTGTCTCGCAACCTGGATTGAACATAAGATTACGACACGATTTCCATTTTTAAAGTAAAAATACAATAAAGTAAAAGTAGAGTAAAATACTAGATCATTTCAATGGTTGACTGACAATATTATTTAATCTCGCACTGCCTAAGGTGCCAGTTAGAGTAAGTTTTTCGAACACCCTGTTCATTTAAGATGGACTATTCCACTTAAGTCCTTCAGAAAGATGAATTGCTTTCACTTTCGTAGCGCAAGAGATAATGCACTAAACGTCTCAGCCACTGTTCTGTGTGACTACTCATTCCGGCATTGAAAACCTATATTGCTTCCTCCTCACTTTTTATCTGCAGATATTCTGATAAGTTGCACGTTTGTTCCTGATATAAACGTCCACGATTTGAATATACAGGGAGAGACAATCCATTAATGACAATATGAATTATTGTCTTCAAATATTTTTCTTTCTTGCCTTCACGACTTCTAAAACGTTTGAAAAGAACGTGTCTACTCGTATATGGAGCCCACACATCCTCCCAGTCCAAGGAGAGAATATCACACTTGCCTGCATTTACACGCCACCAACCACGTCTCGGTTATTGTCTTGGCAACACGAGAACGGCGATATCGTAGCTACCGATATATGCATAGGGGTGGGATGCATACAGGACCAAAATGTTCCAGATACGTCCAAATACAATTTGATGGCAGATTCTTCCAGCGGAAATCTAACTATTAGGAATTTAACAGTGGATGACAGCGGCAGATATCAGTGCAATGTCTTCACTGATGTTGATTCATATTTTATTGGAATTGTTCTAAAAGTAATGCTATCAGGTAAGATGTTTCCATTTTTCCTATAATGCTTGGTATACTAATAAAATGTACACAAATAAATAATTCGTCGGCTGCATGCCAGCAACCGGCAAAAACTGTATATTATTAACATCCGTTTTGCCGGCAGCCGAGGTATTCTTTGTATGTTTATAAAGTGAAACAAAAATGATTGTTGTTGAATAACAATAGGGTTAACGTTTGTGTTACTGAAGGAAAATAGACAAGTTTCCCTTTGACCAGCCGAATTTTATTTGTGATTGGAAATCATGCCCCTTCAAGATTCAATTTGAAAATCATTATGACGGGTAAAGTGAGGTGCATTTATATCTCAGAGTTCCTAGTCTTTTGCAGACATCCCATTGGATAATGGTTATACGTAGAATTAAAACTGTATACATTTCTTCCAATGTCAAGCCATACCTCGATTGCTATCCATCACCAACGATCGGACTGAACATGAATACAAGAATGGAGAATCAGTGAGCATAACATATGGACGAACCCTAAACCTAGCATGCTCAGTGGAAAGCGCAAGACCACCTGCAGAACTGGAGTGGCAAGTTCCTGAAGAAGTACAGGTTCGACTAGGAGATCAGTTTAACGCTGTTCATGATGACGCTTACGTCTCTAGACGAGTTGTTTCTGTAACTCCGTCCAAGGACGACGATGGAAAGGTTTTCCGTTGTGTGGCTTCGCATCGGAATCTGGATAATGAACTTCAATTGTTCATCCACCTCGATATTCAAGGTGATTATCTTTCTAATGATTTAATTTTATGATTGCTCGATGTGTGTGTATTCTTTACAAGTGGATATGCAGCTTAATGTGAGGATTGTCTGAAATGGATGAATCACTAAACATTTCCTAAAACACTTTCAATTCTCCTTTATTATATGATGCCTTTACCGCTAATATGCCGTTATCATATTGATAGTAATGGTTTACCTCTGTATCTCTCCTTCTAATACCTTAATCCGTATTGAAATTCTGGCTTTTCTTTTTTGTTTCACTCAGTACCGCCAAGTAACCTCCTGCTTACCGCGTATGGATCCATAACTACTAATGCACAAGCGTCAAAAAGTGTCAATGTCTTCGAAGACTCGGCAACATCATTCACCTGCAAGAGTATAGGATCCCGACCTACAGCTCTCATATCATGGATCATTGGTTCAGACGCCGACCTGGGTAGCACGACCTCTACGTCTACAACGAATGAGGCCGACCGAGGTTTACGTGACACAAATTCCTCTCTACAGTTGATTCCGAAAAGAAGGCATCACAATCAACTTCTCTTATGTGTGGCCTTTGCTGGTATGAACCAACGTCAAGCAGAAGTGAGGGTTATCGTCTTTGGTGAGTATTCGTAGGTTGTATTATCTATACATCATCTTCTCGAATTCACAACAGAGGACCGAACGCGGTATCGGACATACTAAACACACTTTGACAAAGATATGTCAGATTTGAAATTTTACATTTTTAACAAATATGTGTATTTATACCATGTTTCCACTCTCTGTAGCAAGATAATTAAAAGAAGTGAAAGTTGTGGAAAGTTTTAAGTGACAAAACTTTGTGATAGTCCAGGCAATTTGCAATATAGATATCAACGAATTAATTGTCTTTCTTGAGAATGAGTTAAATGTGATACATAGGTCGTCGTTGCAAGCTACTGGGTCTAATGATCTAAAAAAAAAATAATGACGTAAGAAATACACTTTTATTTTCAAGGACCACCAGATCCTCCCTACCTAAATGGAATAGAAGGTTTGCAGGATGGGGTGTCCTCAAATGTGACTTGCACATCGGACAACGGCTACCCAGCACCAACTTTCCTATGGTACCTTGGAACAAAGAACGTCACCAAATATTCTTATACACAGTCTTTGGGGAATAAAAATCATCGAAAGGATGCAATAAGTTTGTTCACTTTCACACCCACGGTAGACAATCATGGGAAACTCCTTGTCTGCCAGGTTTTTCAACCAAACGCTGCATCCATGGAGTATCGGAGTGTCAGTGAGGTTCTTCAAGTTCTTTGTAAGTCTGATGTATTTAAGCCTAACCCATTCATCGTGTAGATCTTACGAGGCAGGTAAACAACGTCGTCTCACCGCTTTAAAAAAAAAAGACATTACAAACATTGACATTACTTGCTTTTTATTGTCCTTTTCGCAGTGAGCTGAAAACTGTCTTAACCTGTCCATGATTACATTAAAGGTAAAGACCAGTATTGGCAACGCCCCAATTTCAAAAAATGAAATGGAAGCTCTCATTACCAATCATGTGAAAGAATATGTTTTGACTAATACATGATGATAAAAAATTTGCCGGGAAACCGCCTACTAATTCATATATTTGGTAAACTTATTTCTCTCATGGTCTGGTGAGAGAGATAGGGTAGTCCCATATACATCTTTCTGTGTATAGTGCTTGTAACTTTACGAAGAATGGGCCAAATTTCTTATCATTTTGATGATTCCAGAACCTTGCAGATGCTAGATGCTAGATGATCAACCTTTTCTGATCGATTCCACAACGTTTCTTTCACAATGCAATCGCATGACCATTACTGGTCTTTACCTTTAAAGAGACAAAAGTACGTTATTTGTATAAAAAAAAACACCAGGTTTGATTTTGTCTCCTCTTGGTAATACATATTGGTGTTACAATAACACTTCTGAAACGTAAGGATTGGTTAAAATTAATACCAAAAGATGCCTTACACCTGCTGATAGACCGTTCTATGTTAGTGTTATGGTTGTGGCATGTTACATAATATTGGTAACCATTATAATATGTCTTCATTTACGCTCATCAGGAATACCATCAACAATTATTTCTTTCTGAGCCTCGCTTAATTGGTTCCTGAACCTGTTTTGTTCTTTCTAAATACATACATGTAGATTCTCCTGTCATTGTGGACTTCTCTGTTCGTCGTGTTTCCACTGGTCACCAGAGCCTTGATGCAATCATTACATGTACATCAGATAGCAGGCCCTTAGCCTCAATAACTTTGTTCTCGAATAGCATTGAACTCAACAACAGCACCCGCCATCAGATTCACCGCAGTCTTCTACAAGAAGATACCTCGAGGTCGAGTATTCTGGTTATTTCTAATATTTCGGCAGAAGACGATGGCAACTATACATGTTTGGCAGACACGAGGCTTGGGAACGACAGCGCAACTATAACCTTGTCATATTCTGGTAAACCTTTCACTATCAGACCAAGGCGCATGTATGTACAATGATCATGTCATATTGTTTAAAATGACAGATTGTCTGGTGCAGTGATGTGCCATTGATAATCCCAAATGATAAACAGGAACAGTATGACACTGTTATGAATGTGTAACCTAGGTAATGAAATGACATCAAGTTACAGTAACTATCGGGCGATGTAGAACTTGGTCTTACGGTAGATTAATGTGTCGAATTATAGAAATAGTTGATGGTTGAAGGGATTATTACATGTCCGACAATATTCCGGTGAAAAAATTATATGGGTTTGTTTCGACAGAAATACATTGTAAAGGTCATGCCTGTATTTAAAGTTGTATTAACGTTAGGTGTTGGGTTAGGGTTACTGTTTGGTTTAGGTAAAGGATTATGCTCAAGTTTGAATTTAGCGTTCGGTTTGTCACGGGAACATGTGACGTACAGCCGTCACTACGACAGTACGATATGATATTATACATAAATTAATCGTATTGATTAGATAGTTTTTGATGTTATGGTAACAAAATTATATTTTAGTACATGAAACTGTTAATATATTTTTAAAACTACTCCCAGGGATTCCAGATCCGCCTTATGAGTTCAACGTAGATCAAAACCAGACGAGATCGTCTACTCTCTTCGTTACTTGGCAACCAGGAATTGATGGTGGGCTTCAGTGAAATATCACTTTGGAGCGTATTACGGGGAAAAATTATTAAATAAATTTTGTATGTATCGAAAAGAAAATATATATGCATTCAGTCTTTTACAAATAATTATTGAAATATAGGTTCATGCGTATACATTGAAAATATGAACATGAATACAGCTCGCCATTAATAAAAAAGCACACTCTGTCGTTTGGATGTGGACATGGTGAGACACTCATTATTAAATTCTACTTTATTTGTTCATTTCAGTGTTGGCATAATACAAAACGTGATTATGAATCAATGGCTGAATTACTCACATTTCACAAGAAACTTGGACAATATAATGACACACAAGAATGCAAATGGTATGACTATACAGACGCAAGATGATAATGGGGACAGCTTGACCACTGTAGTTTAAATAATAAGGGAAGAAGATAAATGAAACAATCAATATCAGTCATAAAACATAATTCGTAATTCAATGGAGACTGAAAAAGAAGGTTAATGCATTTAGAATATGTAAAAAGGGAAATATAATTCTAAAGGAAGATTTGAGTATTAAAATGTGTACAAATATTGGAAAACTAAATGCTTTTTAAGTGGTCAATAAACATTTTAATTTTAATCGGGATTCGAAAGGTGAACAAGTTTTTGTTTATATCGTATTATAATCTAGTATTTATTGTTTTATGATCTAGTTAATTGGATATTGCTGGTAGGTATTTTCTTTACCTAAGTTTATTGCACGACAAATTAAACATATCATTAATTGAACCAATAACTAAATAACTAAAAACCAGAGGTGGGATCATTGTATCGTCCTCACAATCAACATTCCCTCATTGTTTTCATTTTACTTTAAATTTGGACGCACGAAGTGAATGAGGTAGGAGAGAGCACTGCTTTATTAGCGCCCTGATTTTTCCAATAATAGAAGAAGCCAGGTGTTAAAGTTTTACGTTAGTCTGGTCAAATCTTTGACCGGACGCAATACCATCCTCTCCCGTCTTTCATCGAGGGTGGACAGTCCCGGTTCTTAGATTTATGTTTTTTACTGGAAATTGCGTTCATTTATTTATTTACAGTTCTCTTTCACCAGGGTTGCCTCTTTATTTAACAAAGTACTTTCCCTGAGGGCCTGCACAACGAAACAAATTTTGTTTAATGTAAAAACATAATAAATACATATTGCACATATAAATAACATAAGAAACCAAAGTTATGAAAACGAAGATAAATAAAGTACTAATTAATAATATGAATACAATATTGGAAAGTGTAAATAAACATATGATATAATCGAAACATCCAAATTATAAATTATTCAATTGTCCAAGTACTAATTATTGCCGTTGAGAGGAAAGTGAGGTAATAAATAGAAGAATGTTATAAAGGGATTTAATGGGGGAGAGTAGAGAAAGATGGTAAAGAGGGATTGGGAGAGAAAGAGAGAGAAAAGGAGAGAGGGGGAACCGTAGACGATGTGGGTATTAATCGGGAGCGCCAGGAGTGTGAAGTCTTACAGACATGAGCGTTATACAAGAACCCACTATTAGTAGTATTATTATTATTACAGGAGACATAAGTCCGCTTAATCCTAAAAAAGTTTATAAGTAGGTTAAAACTGACATGGGAAATGGGAGAGGGGAAGGAAAAGGAGTAGGATGGTAGTGAGAGAAAGAGAGAGGGGGTGATCAAGATAGATAGATAAATCCGTTATACGTGTACATGAATAGATATAGTAATCGTTTAATCGGTAGTGTCTCAGGATAGCACACAAACAATTATACACAAATTTGATTTTTACAATATGTGAGTAAAAGGGCTAGTCTTTGTTTGGGTTTTAATATATATTCCATTGCTTTCACCCTAACTTATGATATTTCGTTTACAATCGTTCAAAATATCACTCGTTTCTTTAGGGGAGGCAATGGTTTTTGATCGTGTTTCGTCTGATTATTGGGGTTTCATGAAACGTTGGCATAAATACTGTGGGCCATTCCATTGACACATTTGTAAACTTCTGTCAATCTATGAACCTGCCAACTTGAGGATATGTTTCTCCATTGTCAGTCCTGGCATAAGTATGGTATGACGGTTCTTGGATACTTGAGAGCCTATGAAGTTGTAACCGGCTATCTAAGAGTCCATCTAAACTCGTCCGTATGATAAGACAACATCACAAATGTCGAATAGTAGTGTTACGAGGGAGGTACATAATATTAAGCATCATAATTGAAATGCATAGCTTTGCAGATCTTTTAAGAAAAATGATTTGCTTTGCCATTTAGTCAAAAAGGTCCTTTATGACATATTTTCGTCTAGAAATCAAACTAATTATTCAAAATAAAAACAAATATTGAGTGACTGAAACACGTTTGGATTTAGTATTATATACATCAGATAATAATTGATTCAATAACATAAAAGGCCTATCGAAAATTGTTACAATTACTTTTATATTAATGTTCCAATTAGGAGTGATTTTAGGAAAGAAAGAGCGCCCTCTTATTTACAGCATGCATACATTCATTTGAAATGTATGTTATGTTGAAGTTTTTGAAACTGAATCAGTTTCAGGACAAGATTTTTTTTTTTCACTTCTAACGCTATAAATCACCAACGATTCCTCCAACGTATGATCTATTAGTGCAAAAGCATTTTCTCTTTTCTGTACTGTCGGCTTGCTTTCATAATCATCGATAACGTGCGTTATAAGATCGTCAAATAGAATTTCGAATGGCAGGATTCGATTGCTGAAATATGAAGGCGATTTGTGCTGAAGTTCTTCTTTTTCTTGTCGTTATCTTCTCGAAATCTGGTAAGTTTTCTTTCATGTTATATTCATAAAAGTCATTCGTACTAAGCCTTGGCGGAGAATTAGGGATACGTTACAACGTAATACAGGCAATTTACTAACCAGTCGTTGCTGCATGCATGTTTTTCAAATGCTGTCTACCTTATAATCGCTTTATTTTATGATGGAAGTATATAGATAAGAAAACTATCAAATTACTATGATTGTATAGCAGCTCCGAACACTGTTAACAAACCCTGTCTTAAAGCCGAAGTATCAAAAGAATTCTACCAACTCAGATCTTTGACGTACATCTCATTTATACTTAGGCAATGCTTTGTATGGAAAACACGTATTTAAAACTATTCAGGGTAAATAATTAAAATACTCGAAATGTTAGTCCGTTGTCGTTCTTCGTCAATGTTTTTTTTTTTACAGAAAGTGTATTTGAACCGTGGACAGGGGTAGAACGCGCCCATTCCAATTAAAAGATAGAAAAGGTGAGATAAAAGAGAAAGAGAAAGAGGAAAAAAAGGACAAGAAAAAAGACGCCTAAAATATCATCCACACCTCCCTCCTTCTCAATCAGCAGTCTTTAATAACAAATTCGCATGTCATTTTCAGAGTAAACTGGCGCTCCCCGGCCCATCCCTCCCTCTCCCATTGTTCCAGTACCCTCTTAAGGGGGTGGGCTCAATCGACGCCACTGTATTTGCTGCATGCTATTTTCAATAACTGGGTTTCTTTCCCTTGACTTATGTTTAACTTCACCTATACAGGATACCATGCATTTCAAGTGTCGATTCGGACAGGCAACTACTCTCTACCAGTTATTGGGGAAGATTTCACACTGGTTTGTACCTTCACGCCGCAAACCAGGAACCGACTTGTCAGTTGGGAAGGGAGTGGTAGTCTTAATGCGCTGGCCTCTCACGACTGTCGGAAATATCTTCCTTGTCGGTTTACTATTCTTGACCAATGGAAATACAGCATGTTATCAGACTATAACAGTGCGAATCTAACAATAAAACAACTTGACAAAAATGATGAAGATAATTACGAATGCACTGTAAGTGATACACATGGATCAGGGAATGCAGGATCAACTAGCGTGCACGTGACGCCATTACCTGCAGGTAAAAACATAGTCTTCACCTTACGAATTTATTATTGAAAAACAAAGCTCTTTCCACAGTCTTTATATACACATAGCTCAAAGTAAAGTCGTTCTCCGTCAAACATTAAACCTAAACATGCAGGCATATAATAATAACTTGATACAGGTTAAGCATATTGTTTTTTTTTCTTCAATGAGACAAATCGAGGAAACCATTAATTCGGGCATGTCTTTTTATTCTAATGTGCTAAGGATTTTATTTGGAGTTATGATTATGTACTACTAAAAAAATTACTAAAATTGTATTAGGCAACTAAACAACTTAAAGCCACATCAAACATTCTTTGTGAAGGTATGAACTAAGATATGTTCAGTAGAAGACATTGAAAGACTGTGTCAAGCGCATTTAAAGATTCAATTACATGAAAGTAGACTTTCACAGTGGAAAAGAACAATTTTAAGTGAGTTTAATTCATCGTGACTGTTCCCTTTTTTACGCCAGTTGCGCCCTATTGGGTCTTAATCACGGATGAGAGATCGACCGAGTTTTACCCTGACAACGCAAATATAACGGTAACTGCTGGAGAGCCGTATGACTTCACATGTAAAGCAGACTGGACAAGGCCTCCTGCAGTACTGGAATGGCGTATACCAGATGATGTAACCATGGATCTGCGTGATCAGTCTGATGTCGTACAAGGCAACTTCTATGTCTCTCGGAAGGCTGCTACCATCACTCCCTCTAGGAATGATCAAGGAAAGATTATGCGCTGTGTGGCATCACATCCAAAGCTACAAAATAATCTTCAACGCTCAGTTTACCTGAATGTTCAAGGTAAGAAATGTATGCCAAGTGCAAGGCGGATTCACATTTTCACAGCCTGGCAGTGTAATCCGTTTAATGAAAGAGTGCTTCAATGTGTGTTAAGTGAGCCCAATTATTCTGATGTTACCCTGTATAAACCGTTCCCTTCAGATCTTAGTTTGGAACTTAATAGGGCAATATGCAATACTGAATTGTCTTATTTCTTTTAGGACTTTTTATCCACATAATTTATTTTCAAGCAAAAGATTTACAGAACCAGTTCCTTATTACAAGAATTATATATATTTAATTTCTTTTGTTTCTGTAATAAAGTTCTCCCTACCATCATGCTCCTTTACACAACTGGATATAACCAGCAACATTATTAAGCATTTCTTACACGATTTGTTACATATGAGTTCACGTTCTCTCTCTCTCTCTCTCTTTCTTTCATAAAGTTCAACCTTCTAGTATGTTAGATTTTCCGACTGGAGATAGCAAGGAAAACGAATCTGGATTCATTAACGTTCAAAAAGGTTCATCGACTTCAATCACTTGTAAAAGTGTCGGATCATTACCAGCAGTTGAATTATCATGGACACTTGACAACACCCAAAGTTTCCCACGTAACATAAGCCTTTCAAAGTATCGCAATGCTTTAGATAGAAGTTTGTATGACACTGAGAGTACCATCACAATACATCCAGAGAGAAAGCACCATGGAAAACTTTTACAATGCTTTTCAACTTTAGGAAGTTTTTTTGATCGACGGGGAGCCAGACTGATGGTTTACGGTGAGATTTACTTCTTCAACATATCGGGAATCGAATTTCTTTAAAGTATATTAAGTTATACGACTACAATCCATTTAAAGCCCGATTTATGACTAAGGATTCGAAAGAGGATACTGTTTCATTTATCCTGATCTACCCTAGCTACCCAAACTAAATTTTCATTATTTGTATTAACGAATTGGCGTCACCTCGGACTGGGAGGGGAAAAGCGAACGTGTTTTACTATGATCCTCGGTTGTATCCTCGGTTGTATCATCGCCGTACAACTAAATACTATTATACATAAGAGAGCTTCTATATTTTACCAAAGGACATTTCACCCTAATTAAGGCTTTACACATAACTATTTATTTCATTTCTTTGTCAAGGCCCACCAGATAATGTTAAAATTACCATACCATACGATCTACACGACGGGATAGAAACCAACGTAAGCTGCAGAGCTGTTAATGGATACCCTGCTCCGCTGATCCACTGGTACATCGGATCTAAAAATGTGACCTATGATTCGTCTCTTAAGTCTCCAAGGATTGAAGACGGTCGATATGATGCTTCAAGCACCCTTACCCTAATACCAACGAGGTTCGATCATGGGAAACCTCTTCTCTGCCAGGCAATTCAACCTACAACGCCTGCAATGCGGTCACTGAATGATAGCATGGTTCTAAATATATCATGTGAGTATCGAATTTCATTTTAACTTTTGGGAAGGACATTACAAAAAGATAAACTCGTCAAATTTGTATTTTTGCTTGTTAATA